CATTTGTAGCTGGAAATAAGAGCTGAGTCAGCAACACTCCCACTTAGCCTTTACTTCCCCTGTTTTTCAGCCAAGCAGGACCATTTCACAGGTGTGGACACATCACAGAACAGATAGTTTTGTTGACACCTTCTCATCAGAGCTGTGCTCTTTAGAAATGCCCTTCCTTATCATTGGTTAAAAGCATAGGATAGTAGGAGTGCTTTTCCTGATGCTGGTTAGTTAATCCATGATAATTACACTTTCAGTTTTGAGTAGGGACAAAGAGATTTGCAGCCATCCAGACTTCATACAGATCTTTAGATTCACCAACAATCCTGGTTTCCTCAAAGCCCTCCCAGTTTTGACACTGAATCCATCCCAACAGATGCCTCACTCACAAGCCATCTTGGATAGGTGGCCACTCCAAGATAACAAGAAAGTCCAAATAAAGTATACAGATCCTTTTTAAAAGGCAATTAGTGAGCCATGGAAGCCAGGATGACTAAAGGAACTCATTTTAGAGGTAAGCTAAGGATTCTCAGCTGCGTTTTCCCAGAAAGGTCACAGGCTAAGAATTTCGGCTTGGCCAGGCATGGAGCCGCAGCTGGTGCTCAGCACCCTGGCAAAAGCATTGGAGATCTCATATGGCCAGAGTGACAAAGTTGGAGGCAGGGGAGTCAAACACATGGCTGGTTTATACTTCAACATATTTGTCTGAGGCTACACAGGGTAGGAGACTAAAGAGCCAAGCAGAAAACCACAGAAAAGAGAAGCATAATTTCATGCAGACTCACACAGTGATGAGAGACTAAGACATGTCTTGGGTAGAAGGCCCTCCAGCAAGCAGGAGGCAAGGGACAGGAGCTTTGGAGCCAGTAGCTTTTTGAGAGCACAGCTGCCAATTCTAGACATGACTACAAGCTGCGAATCCAGGCATGGTCCTGGGCACAAGCCCACTTCTGGAGGGTAAGAGACCCCAGAGAAGCCGGCAGAGGCTTTGGTGGATGGAGTGGAGTACAGGAAAAACTGAAGACATGTTAAGAGAAGCTTTTTCTTTGTGAGAATCCTTCCCGCCAGCCTGGTTCTAGATCCGCATCAGTCCCAAATAAACACACAGGAGGCTATATTAGTTATGAAGCTGTTGGCCTTGTTTGTTTCTTACTGGCTAGCTCTGACTTAAGTAATTACCCCATAATTGTTAATCTAAGTATGTCTCTTACCGGAGAAGTTTCCGGGCTTCCTACCCCATGGCATCACATCTAGACTCTCCTTGTGTTTCTCTTACCCAGAGTCCTTCTGGACTCCTAGTTCCTCCTATCTAGATTCCCTATTGGCCAGACAGTGCTTTATTGACACATGCACAGGACTTCCCCAACAAAGACGAACACAGCATGGTCTTGAAACATTGGTCTTTCTTGAACGTATATGGTGTGTGCCGACATGAAGACCGTCTGGAGAAACTGGCTAACGTCTTAGGCTGGGCAGCTGTAAAGAGCAGGGCAGCATTGCATGTGCTCTCTCAAAGCTAAAGAGAGGACAGCTCCTTAGGCACTCGGGCCAAATCCCAAAGAACACATAGGCACATGTGTGGTCCTTCCTCAACCTCTCCTCCTTTGCTCCCTTGTGTCTTTCTTTCACAGACAGACTGAATTAGGTTGCTCTCTAATATTCTTAATGGCTTCATTGTAACTTAGCTACCTTTTAAATGACCTCGATACAGTTACATCCTAATTCATAGTTGGGAATTAGGTCTTCAACATATAAAATGTAACACACAACTCAGTCCCACCACTGGATTAAGATTATCAGTGCCTCTTTACACGGTCTGTTTAATGTGGTGATATCTTGTTTGTAAATATAAAGCCTGCCCAAAGGTCAGAGGGTGGAGCTTGCCACTAGCTAACCACAGAGGTCTGGAGGTCTGTGCAGACAGACAGGAAGTGAGATGGCTGGGCAGAGAAAGGAATATAGGCTGGAGGAAACAGGAACTCACTTCTTTCTGCTGGAAGCTAGTGAGGTAAAGGTAGCTTTGGCTTGCACCTTCTTCTCTCTGTCCCTATATCTGACTCCAGGCTTTTATTATTAAGATCTATTAGAACTTGAGTAACAGTTCAGCACCAACTCTCCCCACAAATGGGAGATTTCCCTGCTGAAAATATGCCCTGTTTTAAAAATTCAAGATAACATCTGAAGCTTTTATGGCTTTTTAAAAACAAAAGGAAAAGAGAAATTTAAAACATTTGACAATCTACAAGTGGAATCCAACAGAAGAGGGAACATAAATGAATGGATCAAACAGAAGAATACAAACAATTAGTAATATAGTAGATATAAACTGAACTATATTTGTTTAAATTATATTAAGTATAATGAGGCTAATTATTTTAATCAGAAGGTAATGATCATTAAACTGAAAAAGCAGGCAAAGAAATAAAAAAATCCCCAACTAACAAAAATAGCAAGTTTGAGGATAGCCTATGTTGCATGGGATCCTGTCTCAAAAAAATAAATAAATAAAAGAGTCCAAGTTTATAGTCTTCTCTGAGACTCCAGGCAACTTATAGCTATAAACCTTTATAAAATAAAAATTAAGTACACATTTTCAACATGCAATAACACAAAATAGCTGTTCTCATCTGCAAAGAGAAAAATAGGTAAATAACAATGTAAGATTGGACAGAAAACCAAAATGGAATATGAAAATATTAATTCCTATAGCTCCATAATTCCTACAAGTTGCTCTCTGATATCCACATACAAAACAAAATAATATTTAAGAGTATTTGTGTGTATGTGCATTTAAAAACAAAGAGAAAAAACACAACTGTGGACAGAAGTTTCTGTCCTGCCTGGTCTCACAACCGTTTAGTCCTAAATAAACACACAGAGACTTATATTAATTATAAACTGTTTGACCGATGGCTCAGGCTTCTTATTGACTAGCTTTCCCTTAATTATTAACTAATTTCTGTTAATCTATGTATCTCCACGTGGTCTTGGCTTACTGGTGATGCTTTCTTTGTAGTTACATGGTTATCCCTGACTCTGCTTATTACCTCTCTCTATTCCTGTTTGGATTTTCCACCTGGCTAAATCCTGCCTGTCCACTGGCCAAAACAGCTTCATTCATTAACCAGTAAGAAAAATATATATTCACAGCATATAGAAGGACATCACCCATCACACAGTCACAGAACCAAGTCCAGAGATGACTCAGACATTACATTATCAAACATGAACTTAGAAATAACTATGATTAATGTTAAGGGAACTAGTGCAAATGTATATAGCATGCTCTTTTTGTCAGGCAGGAAAAAAAGGATGTGTCTTTAAGTGTCTTCTACACTATTAAGTATTAACTTTGGTGTTTAAATATAGGTTAGCTCATTTGAAATTAAAGTCCTTATTTCTTGGGGCCTATTACTTGTCACGTGAATAATTTCAGAAAGACTGAATTACATTCTGCAAATAATACAGATTCAAAGTAATAAGGCTGCTGTACTGTTAGCCTAGAAACACAAACTTAGGAGTCCATATGGTAATTAACTATACTCTCCCATAGAAATGGAACAAATTGTAAAATAGATAAATGAGAAGTGCTATGTGGGTTACACTAAGTGGGTATCGAGGAAGTTTTGTTGGAGTGGGGCTATAGTCAGTGTTGAGTGTTTCACACACAAGAGGTGCTGCCTTTCCCAGCACAAAAAAGAAAGCCATTATTTTGTTACTATTTTTATTAAAGGCAGTTTTTTCCTCTAAGGATCATTTTCATTTGCTTATTAATTTGGGTTTAGGTTCCCTTTCTCTTAGGTTTTAAAAGCGATATTTACATTTAGTTATAGAAAGATTATTTTTTAAAAGTTGTAAAAAAAATGGTTCCCAGTATATAGTTACAACATTTCTAGCTAAACAGTTACACAATAAATTTGGTCAGTGAGAGACTACATATGTGACTGTGACCCCCTAAGTTTATTTCACATACTGATGGACATAGTTGCCTTAGTTTTGTGTAATTCTACCTAATTTAGGCAAAAAAAATCAAGCTGCTCAATGGTATATTCTTTTCACTAAGCAATATGATAGGAAACCACAGACTTAATCTCTATGTTTTTAAAAGTAATTGTCAATAGCAACTTCATCTATAATAACAATATTTCTCCCACTGTTAACCCCTACCCAAATAATGCCAAAGTATAAATCAAGCAAGAGAAATAGTTCTATTATTATTGAAAATAGATCTTAAATTTTGAAGATTTAAGCAAAATTTTAAGAGGCACAACTAGTTATAGTAAATAAACCTAAAATATTAAGTAATCTTTAGCCAGGTGGTGGTGGCGCACTCCTTTAATCCCAGGACTCGGGAGGCAGAGGCAGGTGGATCTCTGTGAGTTTGAGGCTGGGCTGGACCTCCAAAACAATACAGAGAAACCCTGTCTCGTAAAAACCAAGAAAAAAAAAGTAATCTTTTGAGAGCCAAGCACCTTCTTCAATTCAGTAATCTTCAAAGGGTATCATGTAACACACAGGATTTTGTTTTACTTACTTATTTTATGTATATGAATGTTTTGTTTGATGTGTGGGTGCTTGGTGCCCCAGAGGCCAGAAGAGGTCATCAGATTGGCTAGAACTGTAATTACAGGTGGTTGTTATCCACCTATGGGTGCTGGGAATAGAACCCCAGTCCTCTGCAAGAGCATCCAGTGATCTTAACCACTGAGCCATCTCTCCAGCTCCCTCAGGATTTTCAGTCATAAAAAAAGAAGAAGAAAGAGGAAGGAAATGAAAGGAAGGAGGCAAGGGAGGGAGGGAAAGAGGGGGCAGGAAGAGGAAGGGAGCTATATAGCAATATAAGCAATATCTTTTGAATTGAAACATTCCATAGTAGAGGAAGACCATTAAGCTTCCGGAAGTAAACAGATCACAAGTGTCAGAAAGTCACTCAAATTTGCAAGTCACAAGGCCCCTGCCTCCTCAAGATTGTGTAATCAGTAAATAGGCGGGGGAGAGAAAAGACTCACCTGTCCCACTGAAGCACCTTGGGGTTCCTGCTTCTGAGACATCGCTCCCCGGAGGAGGCTTTTGGTTAATGCAGCTGCCTTTAAGTCACCCATACTCCTGAAAAGAAATCCCAATAAAACATCAAGGTCATCTTCACTAGGATTATTTCTTTGGTCTGTTATTGTTCCCCTATCTGGCCCAAGCAGGAGGAGAAAGGAAGAGGGAGGCGCAGCAGGGGTGATGAGGTAGCATTTCTCAAGCTATGGATTCAAAACACTTTCGGGATTCCAACATTCCCCCATGACCCGTGGAATGTACATCTTATTAGAATCAAGGTCTTGTGCATTCTGACTCTCTGCCTCTTCTAAACGGAAATGCTCACCCTTTCCAAGAGATGTTCAGCTCTTGGTGATGTGCGGCCAGGACTTGATAACCCTGCATGGGGGCGATGGGGTTCACAGAAGAAGTCCTGAGCCCAGCAGGCTACCACTTACCAGTCACAGAAGCTTAAACACCACAGCCCCTGCCAGAGGTCAGAGCTTTCCTTGTGGCAGCCAGGAACCAAAGATATGGCACAGCAGGTGACAGTGGAGCTCTGGCTGGAACCCAGGGAAACAAGTGTTTTGCCTGACACTTTCCCCAGTTGTGCATCAACACCATGAGCGTGTGTTGTGGGAGAGCGACCTCTCGGGGGTTAGTGGGCTTTTTCCTTCTCTCAGGTTAGATAGCTCTTTCCTGATTGGCTGCATTTACACTTCATTTGTATACCTACCAGAGACAATCACAGCTCACTGGGCTCTACACAACAGAGTTTGTCTGCTTAGGGTTACTACTGCTTCAATGAAACACCTTGACCAAAGCGACTCATGAAGGTGAGGGGGTTATTTCAGCTTACACTTCCAGGTAACAGTCCATCACCGAGGGAAGTCAGGACAGGAACTCAAGCAGGGGAGGAACCTGGAGGCAGGAGCCGATGCAGAGGCCACAGAGGGGTGCTGCTTACTGGCTTGCTTCTTGTGGCATGCTCAGTCTGCTTTCTGATAGAACACGTGACCACCAGTCCAGGGATGGCCGCCACCCACAACCAATCACTAATTAAGGAAATGCCCTATACTGGTGGGGAATGTTCTTCTCTATATACGTTTGTCTTATTGGTTGATGAATAAAGCACCATTGACCAATAGGGAAGCAAGATAGGTGGGACTAGGAGAGTGGAGGATTCTGGGAAATGTAGGCACAGTCAGTCACCATGTAGGACACGAGAGGAGTAACAGGCCTGGAATCTTTCTCCAAACATCTGTCAACTTACAGGCAAACAAAAACATTTTGTGTTTACTATGAACAGGAAGTGTGGGGATCTTTTTTAAATTAAAAACGGATACACCACAGGGCAGCAGATAGATCTGAGGCTTTGGGTAGTGCACACCTTCCATGACTGATCATGCTTTCAGTTCTCCTCCAAAGAACGCGGACTTTACTTGTTGTGTGCCTCGACAGACATGTTGGCCCCAGAGAAGCTCCGAGGGGCCTCTCTAGTGACGTCTTTCCGGTCTTGGTAGTTGAGAAAGGATGGCTGATTGTAACCAAAAGAGTCTGTGGGCCGAATGGTTCCTGGCTGAGACTCGGCAGATGGCGGCCAGGCTCTGTGTGCCACGAGAACCGAGCTCCCCGTACCTTTCACCGCCCTGCCTGCACTGCTCACAGATGCACACAGCAGGCTGTTGGCAGGTGTGGGGAAACCACAGCCTTAAGCAGGCGAGGAAACCTGAAACTCACTTGTGGGGCCTGGGTGGCAGGAAGACCAGCAGACCAAAATACGAGAAGCCTACTTAAGTAGAACCAATGGAAGAGACAAAAAAGGCCCCGGTGAAAATGAAAATATAATGGGATTACGTAACTCAAGAGAGTATTTTAGAAACTAAGAAACACATACGTTTTAGATTAGAAATCCAACATTCCCACTGAGAAGGGGAATTGCTGTCTTCCAAAACTTTATTAGTGGTCAAAAACTCAGATGGAACCTTGCAAGATGCCTAGGGACAGACCCTGTGTTGATAAAAGGCCAAGTCGTGTAGAAATCACATCCAGAGGACCAAAATTAAGAGAGGAAAACAGGAAGAAGTGATAATAACTGAGAAGCATAAGAAAACTTGTATAATAAAATCTCAAGGCCCTGGATATTGATAACAAAGACAGTCCCCGAATGTGCTACAACAGCAGGGAGACAGTTTGCTGGGACAGTGGGAAGATGGGATACAGATACTGCCCAGAGACACTGGGCACTGACTCTGGGGTCTCAATGCTTCACAGGGAAACAAGAAGCACAAAGACCATGAAATCCCCAGAATCTGGCAAATTTCCATTCTTAGACTGTATCTAGATACTCATCATAAAGTACCAACTGCAGGGATGATGTGAGACAACTCTTTCACATTCTAGCAGAAACAGATACTTAAAGGCAATAGACAGAAGTTACTCTGATGAAGATGCATAGTTAAGGACACCAACAGAAACCACTCGTAAATAAGTGTATCCTTGTTAGAAGTCACTGATTGTATTTTAAAATGTACATGAAGAAGGGACAGCCAGAGGAGACTACATGTGGAGAGGCATGCCTTCCGAATGTCAGCTGTGTGAAGAGGGTGTTTCTTGACATCTAAGTTCTCAGTTTCCTGGAAAGTGAGAGTCACTCATGGGTCACATTTAGGATTGGACTGCAGCAAGTACTTAGTAGCTAAGAGCCATGCCCGTTCTCTGCTGTGGTTACGGGACAAAGGTTGGGTGCAGAACTTGAATTCTCCAGCAGCAGACTTGAGCTCCAATGTCAACTTTAGAACTTGAGTTTCACACTGCAGCAATGGCAGTTAATTCCTTTATGCTTCTGTTTTGTTCTTACCTAAAACTAACACAGCAGCTATCCCCTTCTATATCCATCACCCGAGTACCTAGTATATAGCAAGGCATTGTGTAGGACCCGAGACACCAACAAGAAAGGCACACATGTCTGCTTTTGGCCTGCAGAGAATGGCTGGTAGCAAGTGCTCAGGAGCCCTTGGGAGTACTTCCTTTGGCCCCAGGAGAACCAACAAAGAACTCAGATGAAAGTCAAAGTAAAAGGACAATTGTGTGAGAGAGAAAAAATCAGTTTCTGGCATTCTATATTGTGTTACTTTACGCAAAACAGAAGCTGTTGAGGTGGGAAATGACTGTGACTCCAGGAATTGGGAGGCTAAGGCAGGAGAGCCACAAGTTCTAGGCCAGCCTGGGCTCCATAGAGAAACCCTGTTGGCCTCTATGAATGACTCTACTACTAACATAATTTATTTATTATTTTACATTGCTTATAGTACTGAGGATTGAACCCAGAACTTATATATTAGGTAAGTGACCTACTGCTGAGCTGTATGTCCAAACTTTTCTTTGTTTTCATTCTTTAAGACAGGGTCTTACTAAGTTGGGCTCCAACTCACTCTGTAATCTGTACAGGTCTTGAACTTTCAATCCTCCTGGTTCAGCCTCCAAAGTAGTTAGAATATTAATAAAGCCTGAGCCACTATGCCAATCTGGGTGATCCTTGAAGAGTAAGTTTTAACAACACTTTCAGTCACTCTCCAAGAGGAGTCATAATCACTAGATCCCCGGGATCCATATCCACCCTTTCCAAGGACTCCATTGTGGACCACGGTGGGTGAGATGACAGCAGCAGGTTCTTGACCTCCCTTTGGCTGCATGCTAATAATAATAAAGACCTATCCCATTGGGACTGGGCCCCACAACTCTGCATTCTGATTGGTTGTTTTCTGTTGTGCTCTCCATCTGTTGCAAAGAGAAGTTTCCTTGATGATGGGTGCATACTACACTTATCTGTGGGTGTAAGAACAAATGTCTATAGATGGTTGCTAGGAATACTGGTTGAGTAAATTAGTAGTTGCAGATTCTCCATGACTTCACTAGCACTGAATAGTTAGGGAAGTTTCTGGATACATCTACAGAACACTCAGGCACCTCAGGCTCAGAGAACATTGTGGAAGAGGGGGCAGAAAGACTCAGAGAGACAGGGGATCAAGAATTTGCTGTGAGATTGTGTCTTTTAGTAATATCAGAAGCTAAATCCATAAAGTCTCCCCAAAGATGAGCTGAAAAAATGACACCAATAGCCATTCCAAAGTGGACCAAGAAGAGCCCATGAGGCCTCAACCCTATACAGAGAGCTGTAGGCAATCAAGGAAAGCTGGGAGGAGTAAAGGCAGTCCTCCCCAGGGAACAGCATGTCAACTGGTTGTCCTGTGCCAAATGTCAGCCCTGGAAACATACATAACAAGTAACGTTAAACACACTTAACAGCTTATATTTAGGAACACACATACAGTAACAATCTGTAGGGGAAAAGGTCAGAAATTTGAAGGAGAGTAGGGAGGTTTTAAAGGGAAGTAAAATAAGAGGTCTTATCCCAAAGCCTCCTAGTGTTAAGAATGAGTAATTGCAACCATCCCATGTGATTTAGCCATGTGAAGGACAGCGAAAACTACAAGGCTTTAGGGTATCTGTAGTAGCAATAATATCAGACAATCCCTAACAAAAAATGAGAGGTATTCTAGCTTCATAGGACAGCTTTAGGGTACTTGTAGTAGCAATATCAGACAATCCCTAACACAAAATGGCTTCATAGGACGGCCTGAATGGCTATAAAAGAAAAAAATCAAAGGCTGACATGTTTTCCTCTGTTACCATCAGCTAGACACCCAATAGCTATGATTTAATAGTTTATGTTTAAAATCTCATAGACATGATGATGGAAACTCAGCATATACTTGAAAGCAATACTAAGTACAATGAGACATTTGCAATCTTTAGAACATGTTTATCATTATTAGAATTAAATTGCTTACTATTTTATTTATATAGCATTACAATTACAATATAAAAGAAGAAAATACATAATTTAAAACCATCGCCGGACGGTGGTGGCGCACACCTTTAATCCCAGCACTTGGGAGGCAGAGGCAGGCAGATCTCTGTGAGTTCGAGGCCAGGCTGGACCGACAGCCTCCAAAACAATACAGAGAAACCCTGTCTCGAAAAACCAAAAAAAAAAAAAAAAACCATGTATTTGGTTCATAATTGGCCTATATTTATTACAAATTTACTTCAATGGTTCATAAGAATAATTCTTATTTTTGCATATATAGAGAAAAATACTTTAAAATTAATATTTTTTTAAAAAGAGAAACCAGAGTTCAATGCAAATTATCTAGTAAAAAGGAACACTAACAGCTACCATTTCTTAAAGTTTCAATCAGAAAATAAATTATGTCTCAAATACCTTCACATACAAACTCTAACACTGGTAAGCTAAAACTCATAAAGTATAACAGTCAGCAATCAATAAATTTGACAATTTATCTAAACATTGTTACATAGGAAAGCTGAAGAAACTGCAAGTAGTTCTTAATGCTCTCATTTTGGTTCTCCGACTTCTCAAGACTGTGCTGTATTTCTTTCAGACAAATATCCTGGTGCTGGGCTTTCTACATGAAGAGAGAAACAGACAGTCAATATGGCACTCATATGCAAGATGAAGACCTATAAACATATATGCGATAACCTATAAACAAGATGAAGACCTATAAACGTATATGCGATAACCTATAAACAAGATGAAGACCTATAAACATATATGCGATAACCTATAAACAAGATGAAGACCTATAAACATATATGCGATAACCTATAAACAAGATGAAGACCTATAAACATATATGCGACAACCTATAAACAAGATGAAGACCTATAAACATATGTGATAACCTATAAACAAGATGAAGACCTATAAACGTATATGCGATAACCTATAAACAAGATGAAGACCTATAAACATATATGCGATAACCTATAAACAAGATGAAGACCTATAAACATATGCGATAACCTATAAACAAGATGAAGACCTATAAACATATATGCGATAACCTATAAATAAGATGAAGACCTATAAACATATATGTGATAACCTATAAACAAGATGGAGACCTACAAACATATATGTAATAACCTATAAATAAGATGGAGACCTACATATATGCAATAACCAAATATGCTGGTTTCTCCAAAAGAATGTTTAAATATCGTCTTCCCTAAAACAATATCCTTAGAGATTAAAGTATAAATGGTTGATTATTCTACTTGGATAGTTTATGGTAATACATTTATTTAGCCCTAAATTATTACAGATTTAATGTGGTTAAGATGATTTTATTTAGAGCAGTCATTACTAGTTCCTATTATGTTCAACATGCCGACTTTTCATATTCTTTTTTTTGCCATTTCTCTGCCAAAAAATAATGTTTTATCCCATAAGACCTTCACTGCTTTAAATTTATTTTATAAATTTTATTATAAAAACCTTGCATATAAAAAATAGCAAGCACCAAAATTAACCAGATGCAAAGTACACACAATCCAATAGTCTGCTGTACCTTTAAACATCATCAGAAAGGAAGCTGTTTTAAAAACTGAAAAAAATCCTAGTTCTGATAAGGTGAACATTTTCTCCTAAACTCTTTCAAAAACTTAGTCCAGCACTTGAGGAAGAAGTTGTAAACTCACACACCTTTCGAACTTCAGTTGTGGCAGTTTTTTTTTTTTTTTTTTGCTACAAGCTCTTTTTTTAAAATTTTTTTATTATTTATTTTTAAGTTTAAATTTAGATTAGAAACAAGGTTGCTTCACAAGTCAGTTCCAGGTCCCTCTCCCTTTCCCTCCCCTCCTCCTGTGCCCTCCCCCCAACCCCCCAATATCCCCTCATTTCCCCAGGGAGGGTGAGGCCCTCCATGGTGGTGTCCATAGTCTGTCATTTCATCCAGGGCAGGGCCTAGACCCTCCCCAAGAGTACAGGGTGAGAGTGCATCTCACATTGTTGGATGGGAGTCCAAAGTCCATTTGTATACCTGGGATAAATACTGATCTACTGCCCAAGGCTCAATAGATTACCTAGGCCACCTCACTGACACCCCCACTCAGGGGGTCTTGATCAGTCCCATGCTGGATTCCCAGGCATCAGCCTGGGATTCAAGAGTTAACCCTTGTCAGGTCAGCTGTTTCTGGGGTTAAACCAGCCCAGTCTTAATCCCTTTGGTCATCAGTCCTCCCTCTCTGTTACTGGCTTTCTTGAGTTTAGCTCAGTGCTTAGCCATGGGAGTCGGCCTCTTCTTCCATCAGCCACTGAATGAAGGTTCTGTTTCCCAGACTCTCTGGCCATGGGATTGTAGGCTGGCACTCCCCAGATCCATGTCTAAAGTCCTAAAATCCATATATGGGAGAGTACATGCCATGTTTCTCTTTTTGTGACTGGGTTACCTCACTCAGGATGGTTTCTTCTAGTGCCATCCATTTGCCTGCAAATCTCAGGATTCCATTTTTTTTTCTGCTAAATAGTACTCCATTGTGTAAATGTACCACATTTTCTCTATCCACTCTTCGGTTGAGGGACATCTAGGTTGCTTCCAAGCTCTGGCTGTTACAAATAATGCTTGTGGCAGGCAGGTTTCTAGCTGGGCTGCTTACTGAAATGCTTTAGGTAAGATGGGCTCTGGCTAAAGCAGAAACAGAGAGCACCCCTTTGTGTTTCTCACAGCGGGGGTCCCTACACCCAGCACCTGAGACTGAGCAGTGCCCAGGAGAAGCAGGTAGCTTGTGGCAAAGTCACCGAGTGGCTGGAGCTGGTCTTCACTTTGGAGAAAGCAGTAGCCAAGCAATCACACACTGCAGGGCAGAATGTAAGTGCCAGTGAACTTGGGGACCTGGAGTAAAGTCCGAAGACACTTTGGCTTCAGTAGGGTTGCCATGGTTGTGGAACTCTGAGGTCATCCACCCCGCCTCCCAACCAAAGTACTTGGACCAAAACCATGAGAAGGCCCGCAGGGCAGGCAGTGTACTGTGGAGGACACCGGAGACAGTCAGCCATGGCCAGACTCTGAGAACTTACAACTGGGTCTAGCTAATGTGTGTGCCTGTGAATACTAATCACCTACTGGACTGTCTGTGCCCTAGAAGGCACGGGACACATTAACTCATTTCTATCTATTTCTAAACTTAGGCTCGGAATTCTAGATTGCTTACTAGCTCAACAATTAGGAGATTTAACATCAGATCTTAACCTATTTATTTTAGTAGCTTTGGCAAAGTCCTAGACACAGCACAGAGAAACCCCATCTCATCTCAGTTTAATTTTTTGAGGGGCTTCAATTGCACAAGGAACATGACACATATTTTATAATATCAGTTCGTTTGTTTGTTTTTAAGTTTAGAAACCCAACAAACAGCTGTATTAAATTAAAAATGATGAATGCTTTATTCTGATTAAATTTTCACTAAATGTCTGAAGGCAATAAGACTAAATAGTGTATGTCAAAATAATTTAACTTTGTGAACCCTTTAGGTTTACATCTTTTTAGGAGATGAAAAAAAGAGTTTTCACAGAGTGTCCAACTCCTGCAAAAAATAAAGTACCAACATTTTCTATGTAATTATCAAGTAGACAGTTATTAAGTAATTTAAGCACGACCAATGCCAGCTGCAAGACTATCTTATGCCAACAGACTATTTCATGAATATTCAGGGAAAATATGAGACTAATTAAACAGAGCCAATTTGGTATTCTCATTTCACGGCTGCATGGATCAAAGCATCTGGCTCTGATGCAGATTGGATAATGGTGAATATTAAAGTCATATCTTCCTAAGATATATTCATTAGCCAAGACAGATATAAAATCTAGCTCATAGCTTTAAATTGCATGTATCTTTAAGTGATGAAAATTCAAATAAATAAAATGTAAATGAAAATTGCGTAGCTTCTACTTGGTGCCTTCACTGAGCGACTGCTCCACAAAGATATTGTGCAGGGAACGGCCTGGAGAGACTTCAGTGTGACTGAAGCTGCCACAAACACGGTGGTGAGTCCTTTGGCACGATCAAGACAGCACATTTTTGCATTTTTATTATCTGTCATTTCCAACAGCAGCAGTAACACAAATGCCTTGCCTTACCTCCTTAAAGCTGTGCTTTAAGAAAATGAAATCTCATGGGACACATGTCAAATGCTCACTTTGATAATATAAGCCATGCTAACACTTAACATATCAAATGCTCACTTTGATAATACAAGCCATGCTAATACTTACACTGTTCATTTTGCCAACAAGTTGGTTTTGCTCTTCATTTTTCTTTCTAAGCTCAGTTTCCAGATCTAATATTTTAATTTGCAAAGCCCTCTCTCTAGATGACATTTTCTCTACTTCTTCAGAAACCTGTAATTTTCATTAAAAGAATAAAATAACTAAATGTGCTTTCCTTAAAATATATGTTGAAGCCCTGATATACTCATAGTACACTACTTTTTTCCCACATAGATATTAATTGGGTATTAGAGAATTCCACTAGAAAATATTCAATGCATTTTATCTTGAGTTGGGGATTTAGCTCAGTGGTAGATGATTTCCTAGCATTGCAAGGTCCTGGGTTCAACACCAGCACTGCAAAGGGGAAAATGAAGAGTTTAATTTGAAGAAGCACATACAACATATATGTGTACATGCATCACAAGCATCTGGGAAATTAACTTCAGATAGAGGGGTGTGTGTGATCTGGGTAGAGAGCTCCCCGACAGTTTTCAGGCACACTAAGCCTAATTGCTACTTTTCGTCATATTTATTTATATTCATTGTGGTATCTGGGGGAACACAGCTAGGTCCGGCTGCACACCGATTCTGTGTCCGGATAGCCAATGGAGGGGCAATGTACACACAGCACCGAGACAGACACATGAGGCTGGGGCTTCATCCTTCACTTTCAATGCAGCCTGAACGTGAGTTTTTCTGTTTCTCTTGGTTGCTTATGTTAACACAAAGTCTAGCTTAGCTATGTTCATCAGAGATTCAGGTAAAAGGAGGCCCATTTGTAAGACTGTTGGTTTGGGGTCACAAGTGTGAGAGCAGAGGTCAGGGCTAGTCCAGAACAAAGAGCTAAGCCAAGGCAGTAAGCGCTCAGAGGACATGGTTAGGACACGGTTATAAGAAACTGTGGACCCATTCACAGACCTCATCACAAACGCAATGGCAAAGGACAGCGGTGAGCTCTGAAGCCAGGAAGGGAGGAGAAGGCTCAGGGAAACACCTGTGCCCTCAATGAGGACAAGGGGGACAGATAAGGCCAGGATGGCCCTGTCAAGTGAGAAATGAGAGGCGTCACCATGTTCCCCCAGTGTAGGAGAGAAGAAAGGGCAGGCAATCTCTGGGGACTCTGGCCACTTTGGGAAGAGTCTGAGAGCATCCGGCATTTTCAAGTCTTCTGCTGAACTCAAGGTAAAGCCCTCCTTTCTTCCCAGAGGCTGGTGGGGCTGAGAAATCTGCAGAGCATTGTATAACTGGCACCGCCCTTGGTTATTTAGCTTTTATTCTATGATGTGTCCCTGAAGATGAACTTAAATTAGTTTTTCTGAGCTTAAGAAAATTCAAAATACTGGAAGATACAGAGTTTGGCCTTGACAGAACTGATGCTAAGGACTTTGAGGAATACAGTAAATAAAACAGAGTTAGGAGAAGGATTCAAAGTCTAGTTTTAGACATAGCTTTAGACATGTCATGTTTAGCAAGTCAGTGTTTAGTGGAGAAGCCAAGTAAAGTAGACTTCAGTGGGGTCAGGCATGAGAGTCCCCAGGCTAGAGATGGTCACTTTTAAGGCTCACACATCCTACAAGGGTAACCACAGGTCCCATTTTGTTGATTAGAGAGGCAGCCTGTCCTTGGTTAGGGCATCAGAGCCAGGATCCAATTCCAGTTACTGGGACTTCAAAGCTCACCCTATGGTCTTTCAACGTGAGATTTCAAGTTGGTTTTTGTTTGTTTGTTTTACACCCTGGCTAGTTTCCCCTCCCTCCCCTCTGTTCCTACCCCCCAATCCACTCCTCTGTTACTGTTTAGGAAAGGACAGTCTCCCATGAGTATCAACAAGAAATGACATATCAAGTTACACTAAGACTAAGCACCTCCCCGTGTATTAAAGCTGGGCAAGGTGACCAGTATGAGGAGTAGGGTCCCCACAGCCCGCAAAACAGTCAGAGACAGCCCCTGTTCTCACTGTTAAGAGTCCCACAAGAGGACCAAGCTACACAACCATGACACACACGCAGAGTGTCCAGGTCAGACGCATGCAGGCTCCCTGGTTGTGGGTTCAGTCACTGTGAGCCTTGATGAGCACAGGTTAGCTGATTCTGTGAGTTAGTTTTCTTGTGGTGTCCTTGACTGCTCTGTCTCCTACAATCCTTTCTTCCTGTCTCTCGCAGGATTCCCCAAACTCCACCTAATGTTTGGCTGTGGGTCTGCATCTGTTCCCATCAGTTGGTCTCTGACGACAAGTGGGCTAGGCACCAATCTGGTCACAGGAGACGGCCAGTTCAGGCCACACAGTCACTATTGCTAGGAGTCTTAGCTGGGGTGATCCTTGTAGATTCCTGGGAGATTCCCTGTGCCAGGTTCTTACCTGGCCCTGAAATGTACCTCTTTCTATTAGTCTCTTCCAGTAAGTTGTTTGATAAATTCATCTCTTCTTTGAGATCTTCCCGCCGTTCCCTTCCACTCTGATTGAAATACCCACTTTTTATGGTGTTGCTTGAGCCCACTTCTACAACCTGTAGGTAAGATGACGTCCATACTACACTGAGTGCCCAAGAGCTCAGGTGCGGCCTTTTCATCTTTGCCCGTGAAGCACTCCAAGGGGCTGGGGAGGCTGAATGCCAGCTTAACTGGAATGTAATTCATGAATGTGCTTGTTTGCATTTGTCACAGAAAAGTTGAACTTTAGAGTTCACTGGATCTCAATAAAGACCAAACCTTTAACTGTTTATTCAACTATACACACATGCATGTGTACACATGTGCGTGCACACACACATACATGTGCATGAGCACACACAGACACAAACACATGCATGAGCACACACACGTGCACGGGCACACATAGGGAAGGGTCACACTCCAGATCCTTCCCATCTCTGCCCACTGTCCTGCCACATCACCACTGGAAGGGCGGGCGTGGCCCAGGAACATCATGTCTGTGTTTTATTCTAGGGAAAATTCAGTAAGAACAAAAATGGAGCTGCTCCCTCCACCCTGTCATCAGCATAAAAACAAGGACTGTAGGTTTGGCAGTGGGGGCGACTGGCAAAGTAATTAAGAAGCTTCTAAATGAAGGCCATGTGTACCTTTTGTCTCCCTTCATCCAGAGCGGCCTCCAGCTGCCTGGACAGCACTGCGCACTCTGCAGCCTTCTCTCTCAGCTCCAGGTCGCTGCGCTTCAGATGCTCCTCTTGGTCAGCCAGCTTCTTCTCCAGCTCCTTATTCTTGGCATCCATCTGCTCCAACTTCCTTTTTAAAAAAACGTGTGTGTGTGTATATATGTGCGTGTGTGCATGTGTGTGTATATATATATATGTGTGTGTGTGCGTGTGTGTGTTTGTGTGTGTGAATATGATACATATATCACATACAAGCATACACACACATATACATTATAATGCATGGGGAAAATGCAGCATCAATTTACGTCAACTTGATACTTACTCTTTAAGGTTTTCACACTTTAACTGAATGAGATAATTCTCCTCCTCAAGAGAAAGCTTGGTTAGAAGGCTATCGTTTTCATCAACCTAAGTGGGAAAAAAACACCAAAAACACTTTTTCAGTTATTTTTTATTCATCGACATCCAAGGAAATAACATATTTTAGAACAAGAAACAAGAAGACTGAATACACAGAAAGACACCAAGCCGCATTTACAATGCTAACACACAAGTTCTTCGACTCCTCAATGAGTTTTAAAGACTGACACTGTCTATCTTAGAAAATTAACATTTTTTCTGTGTGACAGTAATTAAAATATCTTGAACAATGTTTTACTGAAAAGTGACATGTCTGTGGCTCAGCTGACACCTTTCCCAGCGTGTACAAACCCAGCACTACATAAAGCTAGGTGTGGTGGCTCATGCTGCAATCCCAGCTCAGGAAGCAGAGGAAAGACAATGAGAGATTCAAGTTCATCCTTAGGTCGAGGCCAGTCTGAACTACATGAGACCCTGCCTCAAAAAACAAATGACAACAAAACAAAACATACAAACAACAAAAAGAAAACCGTGTGTGAAAATCCTAAACATTTTTAATTAGATATTTAAGGTTTCTCATATCAATAATGTTCCACTGAAATTACTTATAATTATCTATGAAGACACAGCTGCTCAAGTCAAGACTATTCTTCCTGCTGCTTCAAAGTCTAATAGTTAAAGCACCTTTAATAATAAAAGCATTTTCTCATCAGGGCTGGAGAGATAACTCAGCAGTTAAGAGCACTGGCTGCTCTTCCAGAGGATCCAGGTTCAATTCCCAGCACCGACAGGGTGGCTCACAACCATGGCATAACTCCAGTCCTAGGGAATCTGATGCTCCCTACTGGCCACTTTAGGCACTGCATGCATATGGTGCACACACCTGCAGACAAAACACCAGTACCCTTAAAGTAAAAAAAAAAAAAAAATTCTCATAGATTAAAGTAGCACCTTTAGTAAAATATAATGATTATTTGTCTTGCAAGTACAGAAGCAGACCGGTTACCAGACACAAACGTGCCTCTTTAAGAAAAAATGAAGTAACCCTACAACATGTATGAGTGCTTACTGTTTGATGAGCACCAAGGGAGGAGGCAGGTGCATGGTGATTAAGAGGGTTCACAGTCCCTGTCCTGATGGATTAATAGGTACCAATAAAAGGATGGAATCAATCCCAATAACCCTGATGCACAATCCTAACTGCGATGCATTCTACTTTCTGTAAGGTGAGCTATGACTTCTCGTATGTGTGCTGATGTCAACAGACATGCACGCCCAGCTTTGTTCCTCCTCTCTTTACTATGTCCTCGAGTCCAAAGGCAGACTCACATAGACAACCTACATCAGCTGCTTCAGTCACCGGTGTCACCAGGAAATGCTAAAGGGTAACAGTAGAATATCTGCAGGGAAATAACTTCCAGCCACTGATACAGGCGGGAATAAGAAGTTCAACCCGACACTTTGAGGGCCCTCCACTGGCGGCTGCTGTCAGCTGCTCCTTTCACATCTTCCAGGACTCAGAACGACGGGACACCTGGCCCTGCAGCTCCCTAACGGTGTGCGCCTGCTCCGCACACTTCTCCTTGCAGCGCTGCAGACTCTCCTGACACTCGTGAAGTCTCTGTTCGGCTGACGCGAAGGAGTGGCGGGCGCGCTCTACCTGCTTCAAGTGAGACTCCACCTGGCCTCTCATCTGAGGTGTGGCAGCAGGGGAAATAAACGCAAGGTCACACATTTGGCGGGAATATTCTTTCTATCTTAAAGACTAGACATGCGTGTTATTAATACGTACTTTACAGGAGATAATCTACATGAGGCATATAGCCAAAATTAATTCACGTCCAAAATGGTTGCCAGGCAAGTAAGTCTGGTGACACCAGCCCACTTCAGGAGTCACACGGAGGAAGTGACTGAGGAAGTGGTGTGCTCTTTCCCACTGAGTCACCGTCAGCTCCCCAGTGGCCCTCACTTGACAACACCTCATAAGTCACACGTGCCCTTTCAGACTTCTTGACCCAGGTAGGTGTTCACTGAGCACTGCTTCTGACGACAAACACACCGGTTCCCACTGGCTGTATGTGGTCACTGTCCTGCCAGGTAAGTGAATCTAACTTTACCCACAACACTGTCCTTTCCCAGTGCAGCACCCCTGTAAGTTATGGACAGGGGTGTGATGATGCTGCCTAAAGAATGTCGCACTGCTCTGAGTAACGTAAACAAGAAGGATAACGTGCTTGAGTTGGGGACACCAACAGTTTCAGTGCAACATCTGGCCATCTTGAAACCAAGAGATAAAACCAGAATAAAGCCCGCATCTGAATCCCTAAAACGGCTAAGAAGCTGTGAGAAAATCAGGAGACTCAAGCAGTGGATGAATAAAAAGAACATTTTAAAAGAAACATACACACTTTTCTACTTCTACAACCAGAAAACAGTATAATGACAGTAGCCAGAAAACCACGTTCCTCCCCTTCGTGCTTTTGAACGGGTTTTTAACTAGGTTTTTACTGACTCCCTAGCAGGAGAGAGAAAATGTGCATGACCCTGTCCTGTAAGAAGTAGACAACATGAAATGGCATCTTCTTTGGTCTGCTAAAATGGGTCAGGTTCCTCACTTGGTGGCCCGGTGGCCTGTCCTGGCTGACCTTGTCTTGACAGTGATACCTCTCTCTTAGTTCCCAAACTCAAAATGTGCCAGCTACGCAGCAACAGTCGCCACAGACTCTGGGCCCGACCACTAACACCCCTGACCTGTCAGCCAGGAATTGGTGTCCTACGACTCTCACTGTTCCCGTCCCAAAACAAGGTGAGATCCAAAACGGAGTGTGGTTCCATGTAAAAACCTAAAAATATTCACAAAAACACCATCACCTGCCAACACTGGCTACTCCTGCCTCTGTCGCAACTGGATGAATAAAAGGAGAGGTTTCTCAAGATATCATTTTTCTTCCCAAAATGCATTTTCCAGAGAATATTCACTTTGCAATTTTTAGACACAAAAAAATGTAAAAAGAGAGACTAGTTTGCATTTTACTGCTCATAGATCTCAATAATAAAACAATTGGCCCTTTTTAGTTTTAATCTAGTCCTGCACCAAAAAAATGAAATATTTATGCTATTTCTCAAATATGAATAAAAACATAAAAGGGCACTCTCACAAATAAACAGCATTTCAAGAGTTGGAGAACTTTATATCTTCAAGGGGAAATACAAAACTCCCACAGGCTCTGGAGGGGCCACTCCTAGGCAGCACGGGTGAAATGACGGAGGAGAAAGTGGCTGGATGACAGCCGGTGTCAAATGGATGCACACATATAAAATATTTTATTACCTCCATTTCAAACTTACCTTCTCTAACTTTTTGTTTTTATTTTTTATTATTAGGTTATTTTCCCGTAGCAAATGTTTACATCTGCTTTTTACCACTTCAGCTGCTTCTTGCAACTTTTGTACCTAAAATAAAAACCACACACACAGACAGTAAAGTACCATGCATTATTTTAAGTAGAGCATGAAATAAGAGCTAAAGCATGCATTTACACTCGCCTCGCTCTGCGCTTATATTGTAAAGAAGTCACCATTTCTCTGCTACCCATGTTATGTCACATTCCTCCTGACAGTCTCAGGGTTCAGCTCTGACATGGCCCTCACTTTCTTCCTGTCTTATCTGATCGAGGCTCTCACCTGCTTGTTTGAGCTCTAGAGAGGTCCCTGCTGTATACATACATCATGGCTTCCACTTTAATGTTTTGTGGGATTCCTGAATGTGCAAACAGGTGGGTCTCTGATTCTTGTGCCTTTTTCTTGAGCTCTTTTCCTTCTATTTGATTGTTTTGTCCAATACTAGTGTGTTAGTTTTTGTTTTATCTTATGATATTTTAATATATTATATTTTGTTTTATTTTATTATTATCCCTGAGAAGCCTGCTAATAAGTGACAGAAAGGGCGTGGATCTGGATAGGTGGGGAGGAACTAGGAAGAGTATCGAGGGAAGAGAAAACATAATCAGAATACACTATATGAAAAAAAATCTAGTTTCAATAAAAAGTTCTCATTCCAATAATCTTTCCCATCAAATCAAAATCCATCCAAAGAACATGGGTGAACTATGCACACTGAACAGCAGCTTCAACATGGTATATTTAGAGGAAGCATTCTTGCTGAGACCTTAACCCAGGCAAGCAGGCAGGACACAGTCCTGAAGCCTCCATCAGTACCTCCCTACCCGCAGTACTTCGGCTGGGTATCTCAACTGGATTTTGCCACCCAACCCGTCTAGATGCAGCTCCTCTTGTTGCTACACCTTACTCTGCATTAGGCTATGTAATGCATGTTCTTTCCTTGGTTCCTCTCCTTTCCACACTGCTGGAGACTGAATCAAGGCCTCATACTTGCCAAACAAGGGTCTCTGACTATACCAAACCCTCAGTCCATCACTATTCTTTAATTCACACTCTTCGCATAACAGCTCTTTCTTTAATAACCAATTTGCTTCCTATCATGCAAGTATCTGTGTACATCCAGTCTTTTCCACAAAGTTTTCCTTCAATACTGCATTTCTAAAACTGAAAGTTTAACTATAACTTATCATTGGATATACATTCTATTTTAGATAAACCACCATATGTTGTTTTGTGTATCTGTGGTACGTGTGTGTGCATATTTGCGTGTTATGCACATTTGTGTGGATGTCAAAGGTTGGTATCAGGTGTCTTCTCTATCATTCTCTACCTTCTTTTCTAAGACAGGGTCTCTCACTGAAATGAGTTACTAATTTGGCTGAGATGGCTGGACAGGAGCTCCAGGAATCCATGTCTGTACCCCCCTGCCCCCCATGCTGGGTTACACACTGCTGCACTCAGCTTTGTAGTTGGGACCTGGGGATCCAAACTCAGATCCTCATGGTTGCATGGCAAGCACACTACCAGCTGAGTCATCTCACCAAGTCTCATATGTTTCTTTCTATGTATTTCACATGGAGAAATTTCAATTATACATCATTTATTATAAAAATGAGTAGTGGATTTAATGACCCTAGGTGACAGTCATTGTTTTAAAAATCAATGCTGTTAATATACTAATGAGATTCCACATTAAAATTCTCATCACACCTATGCAACCTATTTTAAATTTCCTCCTAGGAGTATCTAATATACTAGGGCTAGCACCAGGAATTGGCAAGACTACCTTTAGGAAGGCATATACGGTCTTAAGGAAAGTTTGAGACACACTGTATTATGTCACAGATATTTGGCCCATCTCTTCAGTTCCGTTGACTTGAGTCACACTGTTTGAAGTCATCTACAGATGTTAGTAAACATTAAACAGATGCAAGTCACCTGAGTTTTATATACGTCGATGAGATTTTTCTGTCGTTTTTCTACTTCTTGCAATTCTACAAGCTCATTTTCAACAGAAACAACTTCATCCTTCAAAGCGTCAAGCATACCCTAGAAAGAAACTCATGATTGATGGAATTTTTCATCCAACAGAACATTATAATCCATGTTAAATAATTACTAAAGCATACCTCATTTATCAACATCAATGAAATAATCATTTTGATGGCATATAGTTGCCATCTAAAATTAATAACCAATACTCATGAATGAATTTAATCAGTACACAGGACAGACTTTTTTTAAGTTACTGAAAAAAGAGAGTTGAAAATAAGTTGTATTCTAAATAAAAAGAATCAATAATGTTGACGTGTCAAGTTTTCCACTTTCACTTAACACTTTTCAATCTCAACCAAAAATATAAGAGCTGGAGGGAATAAAAAGTTAACTCAAAACTCATATGCCAGTTGGGCATGGTGGCACATGACCACAAGCCCCATAATTGCCAGGCAAAGGCAGAGAATGTTGCAAGGTCTAGGCCAGCAGAGGCCACTTAATAAAACCCAGTCTCAAAATTAAAAACAAATAAAAACACCTCATCTGAGAGAATAAATAGAAAAGACTAAACAATGTATAAATGATACGAAGTGCACAATATCTGTGCTTACTAGATATTGAAATACATAAAGAACTAAGTTGTCAAGATACTAAGAACACAGAAGACAGCAGAAAAGGAAAAGAAAAATGCGCAAAACATACCATATGGTCAACGCTGGGTTTTAAACCACTAGGGAAAACATGGGTTGAAAAAACTACAACTACTAGGGAAAACAGGTTAACCAACCTGTCTTGGCCCACTGCTAAAGTAGTATCAAATGAATTAAGTGTTTTTAGTTATAAAGATATGAAAGAAGATCCAGACAAAATTATGTGACTTGAGAACAGCATAAATTCTACTGAGACGTCAAGACTGGCAAGGATGCCAGGCAGTCTACCAGTTTCGCAGATGCTACTATAAGGCACAGAGTGGGTAAGAGGCAGAGGGTAAGAGGCAGTGGCAGCAAAACCACAGGCATCATGTTGCTTTCTGCGGTGCCCCTCCAATGGGGTACGACAAAGGCGCTGATGACACCTACATATGGATTGGGATGTATTAGTAGATGGCAACGTTTAAAAACTCAAACATCTCCACCAGGTCTACAGTCAACTGAGGAACTGCCTGGTTCAGACTGGCCTGCGGGGATGTCTGTGAGGGGTTGTCTTGATTACTGATTGATGAAGGAGGGCCCAGCCAGAAGGCAACGTTTAAAAACTCAAACATCTCAACCCGGCCTACAGTCAACTGAGGAACTGCCTGGCTCAAACTGGCCTGTGGGGATGTCTGTGAGGGGTTGTCTTGATTGCTAATTGATGAAGGAGGGCCCAGCTGACCAGGGCAGCAGCACTCACCAGACAGGTGGTCCTGAGCTTTATACAAAATCTATCCCCTACTGCCCAAAGAGCTGAAGAAAAACAGAGACTGAAACAAAGAATCAATCCGGGTCAGTAACTCATTAGTACATTCAGCAGTAACCCTGAACTCAAGAAAACGGAAAGGGAGAGGAGAGAGAGGATTCAAGAAACAGGACACAAAGACAACATACCTATACCAATGTGTCTGAAATGTAAACACAGCAAACATAAAGGAATATTCTGAAAATCCAACATAAATTCGATGTAATATTTCCACAGATTAAGAATCAGACTAACAACAGATTGTTTTCTATTAACAAATGTAATCGCGAAAGACACAAAAGCAAAGGCCACCCTCTCTCTGGGATGCTATATCTACCAGAAACCAGGCAAATGAAGGCAGAATAAAGGTATCTTCAGACACATAAAACCTTTTTACATGTACTTCTTCCTGCTTTCTCTTTTTTAAGGTTAAAATTTTAACGATGCACTGTAGGCTCAAGGAAGGCAGCCATGAGACTCCAGGACACCTGGAGAGCAGCCCACTGAGGCTGGCGGGGACGCAGAGGAACTCCTGCAAGTGACCAGAGTGCAGACAGGTTTCCAGGAACGCAAATATGAAGCAGAATTGCTGCAATTTTCATCTTTTATGAAAGGAAGCGCTTCCTTTTCTTTGCATTAGAAACACACTTGTTTCCTTTCCTTGAACCGATTATGATTACTGGATGTTTAAAATTATGTTCACATTAGGAAAATTTCAGTGGACTTGTTAGGCATTTATTGATGGATTTTTAGAAAAATTACAGGATTCCAGACTTTGAATTTCGTAATTGTTGAAGTTCCCTTGGCCAGGGGTTGGGGTGGGGGGTGGGGGTTGACATCCAATTCTTTTCTCCTCTTTCTAAATTTCTATTTCTGTTTCTAGAACATGAGTCTTGTAGAATTTGGGGATTATTTATCTCATGGTTCAGAAGCTTCTCTTCTGAGTTTTGTTTTGTGGAGCTGAGAATGGTACCCTCATGCTCAGTCAAGTCCCGTCCACCCACAGGCATGTCTGTGTCTAAGAACTCAGGTTCCTTTTTTCTCACAAAGTCTAAAATCTTCCTCACCCATCTCTTCCCTGGGACACATATAAACCAATCACTCCTTGGACTTGGCTCCTTTGGAAATTCTTTCTGGTTATAAAGCAGCCAAGAACATACTTTCTGGTTTTTTTCTGGTTTCAAACAGACCCAGCCTGATGGTGTATCATATGGTAACCATGACACCTACAAATAGTTTGTGCAGTAAAGCTAATGCAATTTTGGATGATTCACTGCTAAAATTAGAGAGTAAATAAACTGTTTTAAAGTTGAGACAAAGAGAGAGTTGTTTAGCCTCATAAGCCTTGCTTTGTCCTGCTAAATACAATTTAAACTTATTTTTGTATTTATAACTAAAAATCTTAAGATTTTTATATATGAACATAGACATTATCTGTGTACCTAGAAATTATCTATTTAATAATACAATATCATGAGAAACATGAAAGACAAAACAATACATGAGCATTACCCATTACCCAATCTTGCCTTTAACCCAAGATACTGCTACTGTGCACACACACACACACACACAAACACACACTCACACACTCACTCACACACACACACGGACACACACATTACCTTTAACTTCATATTCTCAGTATTTAGTGCTTCATTTTCATCTTCAAGTGAGTGAAGTTTTCTAAGGATTTCTTCACATGAATTTTTTCCATGAGTTTCCACTTTCTTCAAATCTTCCAAAAGATTAACGATTTGCCTTTATAAAATGAGAGAAAGCATGGAAATTTTCATTCAAAGAGTGGATTATAAGTGTTTTTAAAATTGCTCTGGTAGGGCATACTCGTTAAAACGGAAAAGGTACAGAGAGGCAGCAAGGGAAGAGGACTGGTACCCAGGGCTCTGCTCAAAGCAGTCAGGGTCAGAGATGCTCACCTACTGGCGACGTCATCTAGCCTATCGCCCACAGGATGCCTGTCTGCCCAACACATACACACACGTGCACGCGCGTGCATACACACACATGCACACATGCACACACACACACGCATACACATGCACACACGCATGCACACACGCGCGCGCGCACACACACACACACACAAGTTAAAAAGAAGGATCATGTGAGGCAGTGACACCTCATCTCTAGAAGAAAGTCCCATGTTAGTTCTCCAGGATCAGCACAGAAACAAAACTTAAAGCAAATATTGGGGTCTGTTATTGCTCATTTGCTGCAGTATCAGAGAACACAATGCATGTATTTTACTCATTAACTTTCTCTGTTAAGCTCTTTAGTCCCTTGAATTAAGGGGTAATAATTTTTAGGACTTTGAAACACTTAAATGAACCTGTATTTATAAGAAGTAGCAGATACGCACTCAAGCACGAATAGCAGATCTACAAGCTTCCCCTTTGGAATGGGGACAGCAGTGCGTGTTACGGAGTGGTCACTCTCACTCCCACGGGAACAGCACAAGCACCATCGACAACACCTTCACCACAGAACCCAGAAGAAGCAGAGCATGCAGAGCTGGAGAGGAATCAAGTCGCTCCTCACTGGACAACGATAGTCTAAGTTCTTGCTTACTTTTTCATTGTTTCGATCTGAACTTCCAGTTCAGTTTTCTCTATTGCGATTTTCTCATAATGACTTTTCCAGGCATTGGAAGCTGAAAGTGTTTCAGACAATTTGGCTTCCTAAAAATACAGAAAGCATTCATCTTGTAACTTAAAGTGTTTTTTACAGGTCTTAGACACAGATGCATTGTAAATATGAGAACAGTCCTCCAGTAAACATGTAATTTTTCTTGTAGAGAAGCTTGGTGTGAAGTTTCCAATATAATAAAATCTAAAGTAAGCTTTAATAAAATACCCATTTGACTATTACTTTATGTGCACACAGTAAAGTTACAACTTACTATTTTAAGATGCTGATGGGAAGAGTTTTAAGTAATATTTCACAGTTAATAAAATAATTTCTATTTTACTTATGAATGCATCTTCATTTTCCATTTTTTAACAGAAGAGCTAATAACCATATACATGTGTGAAGAGAGTTTCCCAGGACATATAGAAACTATTTGCAATTCCACAGCTCACGGCTCTCTAAATGCAAGCCCATCAGCTTGCCAACACTGTTTCTGTCAGCAGAGAGGGGCAGCAATGGCCCAGTCAGTGTGGATGTGAGATTCACAAAGGAGGACTTTTGTGTTTGCTTCAGCGCTGTCTGTAGGGTTTTGAATGGTGTCTGTAGGGTTTTGAATGGTGCCAGGAATTCTCGGTAAATGCCAACAGCTCTCTGCACTGCTCTGTGGCTTTGTCCACGTTCTATAGAGAATCAAGCTCACTTGTTATAAGAATGCCAGTTAGCCAGGAATCAGAGGACCCACAATAGTTTGAACTGCAGTTTACATACTACTTTCCTCTCATCATTCATTCATTCATTCATTCACAGAAAAGAGTCTACTGGTCATCTTATACACACAAGACATTGTCTACGTTTTGCACAGAAACGTTTGTTACACTGAAGACTAGTACCTTATTTCATATTTTGTGTGAAATAAAATTTAATATAAATTCGGAAGTAAGAGATGGCTATAACATATACTATAGTGTATATCACGTGAGACACTGAGGACTTAGACCCATGGAAGAAATGTGTACATTACACATGTAACAGCCTCGTTTCTTCTTATGGAAAGACACACAGCGAGCGCCCCTCCCTCCCACTGCAATGGGACTGCGTGTGAACTAGACTACGCAGGCAGCCTCCAATCACTGCAGACCTCACAGACCCTTCCCACTCCCCATCCCGCATGATTCCTCTGGGTTGTATTGCATGCACTTGCATGGTGCACCAAACAGGAACTCAATAAAACGTCTCACTGCTGAACTCATTTGTGCTTCAAGCTTAAGATAGCCTCGAGGAGGGAGAAGAGTAAAGCATGAGATAGCTTCAGAATGAAATAAACACCATAAAATTAATACGACTGTTAAACGTTTGCTACTGAATGGGCAGGAAGGGAAGGCCCTCCCTGGAGAGAAGGAGTTGAGAAGTTAACTGATTAGAGAGAAAAGAGCCAGTAACAATGAGCAAGGAAGAACTTAAAGCCAGAGGCAACAGCCAATCAGCAGGGCAGGAGGCAGCCAGCCCAGCCGGCACAGAGGCAACAGCCAATCAGCAGGGCAGGAGGCAGCCGGCACAGAGGCAACAGCCAATCAGCAGGGCAGGAGGCGGCAACAGCCAATCAGCAGGGCAGGAGGCAGCCGGCCCAGAGCAGCCTTCTGTTTCCTCACAAGTGCTCCTACAGTCACTTGAGGTGAGCTGCGTCCTTATGCCCTAGTTCATGAAAGATGTGGAAAGTCAGACAGGCCAACCAGTGCAGGAGCCTCTCCAAGATGCTAACTCAGTGGGAAAGCCTCAAGGGCATCGCGCCAAGATTAGTGTAAACCACTCCAGCAGCTGTAGGCATTCAGCCAGCTACGACCTTGTAGGCGCTGAGCCTAGTCTTCAATATCTAGTTATACTCAAGTGAGTGTAAGTTAAATATCAGAGCCGTAAAATGCTGACATTTGGGTTTACAAAATATTAACTTGTTTTGTTTGTGCAAGCTTTTATACGAGTCTGGTTTCATTTCCCAAAGTCACTAATAAATCTATAAGCCTTAGCATACGTTCTTAAGAGGTGGGATACTGGTGAGCCACAGAAACAATGAATATTTTATTGGTTGGCAACTGAATAAGAATAATGATTTGTCAAGAAGAACAAAGCACTAAGTCTATTTTTCAGCTCTGCGTTATACTCAAAGATATCTTTCACATGTTTTGTTTACGTCAGCATATGGCTTCAAATGCATTACAGAGGTTAAAGGAAGTGAGCTACTGAATAAAGTCATATGGTCTAATAACAGAAATCAGCATTTCCCAAACTGATCTTTCTCAGAACCATTTCCAAGAGCTGCTTTGTGGGTACAAGAAGAGTTCTGTGGTTAAGTGTGGGAAATTCTTACTTGCATGCCCTCATTACTGCCTTCCGAAAGCCTCACTGTAACTTTCCAGTGGGCAAGATGGAGGAAGCCTTACTCTTAGCTAGCCACAAAAGCTACTGGTGTGTGTGTTAGGGAGGGGCATGGCACACACTTAAATTTCCTTTAATTACGTCCCCACAAGCGCTATATAATTCAAGTGCTGCATTATATGCTACATAATCTTTCAAAATAAACGTCTAAAGCAAAAAGGATGAGCAAATTTTATACCATTAATAGTAACATGCATAAGAATAACACCATTATCTAAAGCTTCCCAATGTTAACTATGCTAACTAACTATATGATCTAACTAACCATGCTATCCAACTATACTATCCAACTATGCTATGTAACTATGCTATCTAACTATACTGTCTGATTATACTAACTATGCTGTTAAACTATGCTATCTAACTATGCTATGTAAGTAACTATGCTGTCTAACTAACTATACTATTTAACTATACTGTCTAACTGTGCTATTTAACTATTCTGTCAAACTATACTATCTAACTAACTTTACTGTCTAACTGTGCTATCTAACTAACTATGCTGCCTAACTAGTTATAATGTCTATGTTATTTATCTAACTATGCTGTGGAACTGTACTATCTAGGCTGTCTGACCATGCTATCTATCTAACTATGCTGTCTGACCATGCTAACTAACTAACAACGCTGTCTGACTAACTACACTAATTAACTATACTGTCTAACTAAGCTGGCTGACCACACTAACTAACTAACTATGCTGTCTGACTAACTACACTATCTAACTATACTGTCTAACTATGCTGTCTGACCGTGCTGTCTAACTAACTATGCTATCTGACCAGCCATGATATCCAAGTCTGACATTTAAGCACATGAAGCATCTCATACAACAATAAGCACACTCACCTGATCTCGGATCTGGGCAGTGAGGTGTTCAATATCCCCTGCAAAGTGTTTCAGCCTTTGTCTGTAAACTTTCGATGCTTTTTTCAGAGCCACAGCTTTCTGCCTACTTGCTTCTTTGATGGCTACAGCCTCCTGCTTATTCATTCTCACCTGCAAGTTCCACTTGGCTATTTGGGTTTCCAAGCTCTAAAAAATGTTAAAAGATGTCCAATTATACCAGAGCTTCAGTGCTCATATAAAACACATCCACACAGATGGTATCACGTTTGGTTAAAAAGTTAAACAGCAGTAAGAGGGGACATAGCCAAAACTTCTTGTATCAAGTAAAAAATCGAAAATATTTCAATACACATAAAACTTATGGTACCATGACTAAAGAGACTAATTGTGATTATGGCAGAAATATCAGCTTCCTTAAAGCTCCCGGGATAAGACATCACTTAGTTCACATATGAAACAGAACGAAGAACAGTGGAAAACATGATCTCCGTCCTCGGTATGAGAGCGTCTCAGATGACAGATGCACAGGGCGCGGCAGACGAGGATGACATGTGGAGACCCAGTGACCACACATACTTTAGTATCCGCTGATGCTAGAAAGCTACAGCCAGGAGAGTAAAAGCACTGCTTTGCCTAATAGTGGCAAACTTACAAAATGGTGGACTCCAAGGCCAAGCAGAGTTTAGGTAAATCACTGGCTACCAGGTCCACACGATCAGATAAAACAGTTCAAATGAGGTCTAAGGGAGGACTTCAGCCGCTGAACAGGACAGTGCTAACTGGCAGGACCAGTTCTTTGACACGCTCTTCATAAAACATGAGAGAGCCAGTCTGGTGTGACCATTGTTACATTAAGCATGTAATAAGTAATGACTAGAGATTGTTATGCTTTTGTATTTTTAAAATTACATACATGTTAAATACAAAATTACAGAATATATGCTTGATGTTCCCATTCCCAGGGCAACCATTTCAACTAAAAATAAATTTAGGACTCCCAGTAGCAGATAGGCTTTTCCACTTCATCCTGTGACCAATGTAAGCTATGCTTCCCTTCACTTCCATTAATATTATCATTAAGACACACGTCTTTGCTTTCATCTCTGCAGACCGGTTAGGAAAACTTTGAAGAAGCAACTATCTCTTCAGCTGCCTCTACAAGTTAATCTTAAATAAAGAGACAAAAAGGAAAAAGTCTCATGGAGCACTGCAGTAAATAACCGGGAAAAACTAACTCTAAGGTCAAGTCCATGTGCAAGAGAGGACCTGCCCACAAGAAACGCACCAGTCATTCCTCAGGATGGCCACGCGGTGTCACCACCACACCATGCAGTGTGCATTTGCTTACAAAGTCTTACACAGGAAGATTAAAAAGAGGCCATAAGGATAGGAGGTGGTCGGGAATGGATATGATCAAAACACAGTGTATACATCTCAAAGCCTACACTTCATTATTCCAGGGATAGACTGAAACTGGCAAATCATTTTTAATTTCAAGCCCAGTCATTTGCCAAGTGGATGGACCCAGTGAACGACAACTAGAAAACCGAGATTTATGTTGCCAGACTGAATTGTTTTTACACTTAAAAAAAATAAACTTGCTAAACCCCAAATCAAGTAACTGAATTCTAATCCTGCCACATTATTCACTACTCTAAATTCCAACGCTTATGTATTTATTGTACATAATATAATTAACGTATACAAATAAACTCAAATGCAATAAAACTGCGTGCGAGAGGAAAGCAGGAGAGCCAGACCGGGAAGCAGCTGCTCCCGCCCTTCAGGAGTGGCAGTGCCGAGGGTTCTTCACCAGCATCACATCAAGATGGGCACCACAGCAGAGCTCTGGGTTTTAGCCTGCTGTCTGTCTCCAGATTGACCAAATGCATTTAAAACCAGAAAATACTGTTAAAATAATATTTGAAAATCACTCGGTATTTCATTTAGAATTAAAAAGAAAACATCCCCAACTGCTATTTAAGGACATCGACAAAGATAAGATGAAGTAGGTGACTGACGGGCAAGAGCTCATTATTTGCCTGTGGCTGTTCACACGGCACGGCACACCGTCCTAACTCACTGTCCACACAGCACACCGTCCTAACTCACTGTCCACACGGCATGGCACACCGTCCTAACTCACTGTCCACACAGCACACCGTCCTAACTCACTGTCCACACGGCACGGCACACCGTCCTAACTCACTGTCCACACAGCACACCGTCCTAACTCACTGTCCACACGGCACGGCTGACGGGCAAGAGCTCATTATCTGCCTGTGGCTGTCCACACGGCACGGCACACCAGCCTAACTCACTGTCCACACGGCACGGCACACCGTCCTAACTCACACTGTCCACACGGCACGGCACACCGTCCTAACTCACACTGTCCACACGGCACGGCTGACGGGCAAGAGCTCATTATTTGCCTGTGGCTGTCCACACAGCACGGCACACCGTCCTAACTCACTGTCCACACAGCACGGCACACCGTCCTAACTCACTGTCCACACGGCACAGCACGGCACACCATCCTAACTCACTGTCCACACAGCACGGCACAGCACACCGGCCGCCGTCCTAACTCCCTGTCCACACAGCACGGCACATCGTCCTAACTCACTGTCCACACAGCACGGCACACCGTCCTAACTCCCTGTCCACACGGCACAGCACAGCACGGCACACCGGCCACTGTCCTATCTCAATGTCCACACAGCAGCACTGGAGGACAAGTAGATACGGGTTGCAGATGTTTGCTATGATTCCCGACAGGAAAAACAAACTGAGTTCTACCTAGACATCCTCATTCATAGTCTGTAGAAGTATCAAGGTAGGAACACTGTTTCTTTTCCTTTGACAAAAAATAAGATAGTGCATCCAATTAGGCTGGGACATATAACATTTTGAGGCTCTGACCTCAAAATGACTGGACTTGGAATACCTATTTATACCAAACATTCCTTCTAACTGTACAAATACAAAAGGAACTTCTCAATACTTTGAATGCAGAAAACAAACTCATTGCAAAATTATTATAATTGGTAGCAAGAAAAACAACTTACTGATTGCCTATTAGAAACATATGAGAATATGCGTAAAAGGCTATAGAGACATGAAAACTGACTGGAATACTATGCAACCAAATGTTAACAATAGTTTGGTGTCCTTAAGCTATTTTAACTTATGTTTCCATAATTTACAAACTGTCCACAGTAAACATGTATTAACCGTATGATGAGAAAGATTCAAAACATTTAAAATCTCTGTTGGGAGAATCTTTTTGTACATTGTGAAGATGTGTCTCTGTTTAACCTTGCCCATCTAAGGCACCTTCTGACTGGTTTAATAAAGAGCTTAACAGCCCATAGCAAGGCAGGAGAGGATAGGCAGGACTTTCAGGCAAAGATAGGGACTCTGGGAAAGATTCTGAGGTGCAAAATTCTCCAGTCAGACGAGGAGGAAGTAGGAATGATGATACTGAGGAGAGGTAATTGGCCACGTGGCAGAACACAGATTAATACACGTTTAAGATGGGAACAAGCCTAAGCTAAGGCCAAGCTTCATAATTAATAGAAGTCTCGTGTCATTATTAGAGAGCTAGTAATACAAAGAAAGACCCACTGCAAATCTCCACACATTCTTCCTAGATTGAAATATAAAAAGAAATATTTTCATACAGGGATCTGGACCTAAATACTCAGAAGACCAGACACCTGATGATTCAGATTCATATTCAGGGTTTTCCACAGAAACCCTGAAATTACATTCTTTTATTATCACTGCATTCCACAATTAGGCAAGGCCACTAAAGTTAGCTTTCCATTATCTTATTACATAACTATAGCAATGGATATTCATACCCTCACGTGCTCTTTTAACTTGTCATTCTCAGCTTCCCTTTTCTGGATTTGGAGGTGCAGACGATCATGCACTACTTTGACTGACTGGGAAAACCGGTTTGCTTTCAAAGCGCTTTCCTGTAATAGCAAAGACAAATAATAATAATGTTACTGGGTCCCTTCATCTTTGTCAGAGCCCAGAGCCTGCCTCAAGCTGACCAGATGGTGAGTCAGGGAACTCCTTTCCATATGCTGCACATCATATGAAACTGCACGTAACGCTCCCAAAGGTATCCAATGCCTGCTAATTGTCTCCTGCAAACCTCCCCATCTCTCCTCCCAAGTAAAACTCTAGGTACGTACAAAATGTTCCTCCGAACACCAAAATTATTTAATTTTTCCAATTAAACGAAAACATAAATTTGTAGTTCTTAAATGTCAATGTGTATATTTGCATGTGTTCTCAGCTGTCTACAGGTGCAGAGACACATACTTACACACACATGCACATATATGACATGTGTGCGGCTCACAGGACGACCTTGGGTGTCATCTTCAGGACCATCATCCAGCTCCTGAGACAGACGCCTCACTGCCTCACTCACCAACTAGGATAGTCTGACTGGCCAGTAAGCCCCAGGGATCCTCCCTTCTCTCCTTTCCAGGACCAGAATTACAAGGGTTCTGGGGACTAAACTCAGCTTCTGGTCTTCCAACTGAACCATCACCCAACCCATAAGTATAGAATTTGTGCTGACTTAAGCCAAGTGGCCTAAGCAACATAAATCTATACTAACTAAACAACAAACAAACAAAATCAACTTAAAAAGTTAAGATGTTCCTTTTGATGCATAAAAGTGCGTACTGACCTAAACTGTCAGAAAGCCTTTATTGTGCTCGGAGCTGAGGGTCTGAGAACGGGTGTCAGGAAGAGAAAGGAGTCGATACTAACAAGATAAGAGCGAAGGGTAAAACTCAAAATGTGCTTACCTTTTCATTCTCAAACAGACTGGAAAGTTCTCCGATATAGGCCTCTTTTTCAAGTACCCTCCTCTTAAGATTCTTCAGGAAATACAAAGGAAGAATTAGAAAATTCTGACTAAAAACCAAGCAGCGTACAAAGAAGCGAAGAAATGCCACCAAGAATGCTGCCAAGTGGGGAAACACTTACACTATTCTCACTTTCACTGTCACTGAGATCCTTCAGCAAGCTGGGTGAGTTCTCTGCTGTCTGCGAGGGAGAAATACTAAATATCAATGTTTAAAACCACACCTCTCTCTCTTTTAAACATGAATACTGTCTGCCAAATCTGAGAGTTCATTTTCTACTGATATCAACTCTCTGCAAGAAGTATAGCTTGCAAATGTTTTCTCCTATTTTGTAGATTGCCTCTATGCTGTTATCTTCATTTAGAAGCATTTTAGTTTGATGTAATATATATATAGCTTTTGCTTTGCTTCCTTTGCTTTGTGTATCTTAGGAAAAAAAAACCCTCACCCATTGCAATGTCCTAACCCTTTCTCTTCTCTCCCCTCACTGAGGACGAAACCAGGCATGGTATGTGATAGGTAAGCTTTCTGCCACTGACCTACGTCCCTTAAATTATTAACTAATTCTGGAAACTAATGGTAAGGATTCTTAACTTGGCTCTGTGGATAGTTACAGAGCCAGAAGATGGACTCTGTGGAATCTGAGATGCATACACTTCTGAAATAGTGTGTGCAATCCTTCACTGTGTGTATGTGTATGTGCTTTGGAAGAAAAGAATAAAACATAGCACAGGTAACCCTTAAAAGACCAACATGGACAGGTACTATGCATAGTACAGATTCTATTGGGTAAAATTTCTGCCTGGGTTCCCAAAACTAATTTTTTCTGATCAGTTACTTTGCTAAATTGATTTCAAAAGAATGCCCCAGAAAGTATAGGCCCTGATGGGGCTCACACTCACAAGAGCACTCCTGATGGGGATCACACTCACAGGAGCACACCTGATGGGGATCACACTCACAGGAGCACACCTGATGGGGGATCACACTCACAAGAGCACTCCTGATGGGGGATCACACTCACAGGAGCACACCTGACGGGGATCACACTCACAGGAGCACACCTGATGGGGATCACACTCACAGGAGCACACCTGACGGGGATCACACTCACAGGAGCACTCCTGATGGGGGATCACACTCACAGGAGCACACCTGATGGGGATCACACTCACAGGAGCACACCTGATGGGGATCACACTCACAGGAGCACTCCTGATGGGGCTCACACTCACAGGAGCACACCTGATGGGGCTCACACTCACAGGAGCACTCCTGACGGGGATCACACTCACAGGAGCACACCTGATGGGGATCACACTCACAGGAGCACACCTGATGGGGATCACACTCACAGGAGCACACCTGATGGGGATCACACTCACAGGAGCACACCTGATGGGGATCACACTCACAGGAGCACACCTGATGGGGATCACAGTCACAGGAGCACACCTTATGGGGGATCACACTCACAGGAGCACACCTGATGGGGATCACACTCACAGGAGCACACCTGATGGGGATCACACTCACAGGAGCACTCCTGATGGGGATCACACTCACAGGAGCACACCTGACGGGGATCACACTCACAGGAGCACTCCTGATGGGGATCACACTCACAGGAGCACACCTGACGGGGATCACACTCACAGGAGCACACCTGATGGGGATCACACTCACAAGAGCACACCTGATGGGGGATCACAGTCACAGGAGCACACTTATTGGGGGATCACAGTCATAGGAGCACACCTATTGGGGGATCACAGTCATAGGAGCACACCTAATGGGGGCTCACACTCACAGGAGCACACCTGATGGGGCTCACACTCACAGGAGCACTCCTAATGGGGATCACAGTCACAGGAGCACTCCTGATGGGGATCACAGTCACAGGAGCACACCTAATGGGGGATCACACTCACAGGAGCACACCTGATGGGGATCACACTCACAGGAGCACTCCTGATGGGGATCACACTCACAGGAGCACTCCTGATGGGGATCACACTCACACACACACACAGCATGCGAGCGCATGTCACAGGAGCACACAGCACAGGTGCCTTACTTGTTCATAGTGTGTCTGTTTAAGAAGTTGTTCTAAGGCTAATTTCACACGATTAAAAGTGTCTAATTCTTTTGATAATATTTCTTGCTGTTCAAAAATCTTCTTCAAATTGGTTGCAGAATGATTAACCTGACAAAATAATAGAAGCACATAAATCCGTGTTAAAATAGCACTAAGTAAAACATACTAGGATGATATCATCAATGAGAACTGTTTCCTAGTATCAATGAAAATCATTATTTTGCATGTAGTACTGGTGAACCCTGGCAAGTTACCCATAGCAGACACAATACACTACGGTATGTTAAAATAAAACATGTTGTACAACGCCACAGCTTTGCAGTATTTTGTCTACTAACCCACAAAGCACAATCTGTTCTTGACCCAAAGTGAAGTTTAGTTGAAATTGTGCAGTTGTCTTCTATCCCAAATGACACCACAGAAAACAGGTGAACGGCATCTCTCAGAGATTACTTTTTAAAGACATATTTATTTTTATTTGATGTGAATGAGTGTTTTGCCTGGGTGTTTGTCTGTCCACCATGAATGCCTGGTGCCCAGAGACCAGAGTGGGGATCAGATCTGATGCAGCTGGAGTTAGCGATGGGTCCTCTGGAAGAGCAGCCAGCGCTGCTAACCAGTGAGCCATCTCTCCAGCCCCCAATTTTAGTTTAAATTACCTCCACCTGCAGTTTCCGGGTTAGTGTCTTACTAGGTGCATGTCTGAGAGAATTAGTAATGACAGGAAATGAGAATGCTCTCCCAGCTGGCCCCATTTTTGGTATCATGTCCCCACTTGTGGGCATTCCCATTGAGATGTGAGTCTTTAGTCAGGCCATTCTGAATAGTAGGCTCACTCTCCATCTTATTAGCAATTCTAAGTTCAACACTCACATTTTCTAAGTTAATTCCTTCCACAGTGTTCTTAAATAATGGCAAAAGTAACTCTACTGAACAGGATGCCGACTCAGCTTCCTTAAGCATTGCCTGCAACTCCGTCTCCATCTTGCCAATGAAGATGTCCTGCATGAGGCTAGTAAGAGACAAACAAACTTTCCGTTACACCTAACACACGCTGGAGACTTCAGTGGGAGACAAGAACGGACGAGTCTGCCTCCAGACTGACACGGGTTTAATCCACAGAGGCCCTGGGGGAAGCCTTATCGCCAGGCCTACAGGCATGCAGGCCAAAGGTGGGCTGCACAGAGGAGAAAGGAGATCGATCTGGGGTACAGGGGAGAGAATAATTCATCTTCCTTGCACTCTGCTTTATGGAATCATAAATTATGTGCATTTAAAACTCATCTATAGGGCTGGAGGGGCAGCTCAGCAGTTAAGGGCATAGTGCTCTTGCAGAGGATCCAGGTTCTGTTCTCAGCACCTCACAGTGACTCACAACTGTCTGTGACTTGCTCTGTTGGCCTCCATGGGCACCAAGTAAGAATCTGGTGCATACACATACATGGAAGAAAAATTCTCCTATATATAAAACAAATATATCTTTACATTTTAATAAATAAAATCTATGCATAACTAAACTTTAAAGAAACTTTTTCAATATCTATAAACAACAGCAAGTTCTGTGAGAGCATTCTGCCTTTCATTACTCAGTACTGCTTCTTTACAGAATGTCTTATGAAAAACTCATTCAGAACTGATGGGCAGCAAAGATGGCTCAGCAGGAAAACACACTAGCTGTGAAGCCTAGAGATCTCTTCTGACCCTGGAACTCATGGTGGGGGGACAGGACAGACTCTGAAAATTGTCCTCTGACCTACACAGCACAAATCACACACACACACACACACACACACACACACACACACATCAAATTACTGGCATCTTACATATATTTATATATTTCAAACAGAAGGCCAGAGATTTTGTTCTTAAGTACTGCCAGCTTAAAGTAAAAAGCTTATGATAAAGAACAGCCCTTCATTGAAAACCATGGTCAGAAATTCAATTATATTTGATAAAAGACTATTTTCCACTTTCTGTCACCTAAATTAGAAGCTAGATTAAACTACCTGTAGTGACAATAATGACATTTTAAGATTACTACTACTATATTAATTCACACAAATAACAAGTAAATCTCCAATTCAAACAAAGCAAAATATGATAATTATTTGTTATAGAACAATATAATAAGCAATAATATTCACTTTACTGTGGTGATATCTTGCTTATACAAATAAAGCCTGTCTGGGGGTCAGAGAATGGAGCTTGCCGCTAGCTAACCATAGAGGTCTGAAGGTCTGTATAGACAGACAGGAAGTGAGGCAGCTGGGCAGAAACAGGATCTAAGCAGAGAGAAACAGGAAATCGTTCTCTTGTCTGCTGAGATGCTGAGGAGGTAAGGTGTGCTGCGGCTTACTCCTTCTCTCTGATCTCTCAGCATTTCCCTCTAGATCTGACTCTGGTTTTTTATTATCTAGACCAATTAAGGCCTTCATTTACACTTCACAAATTACTAATAGGTTGGGCTGGCTTTTCTATTGCTTTCATTAAGAATAAAAACTTAAAGCAAACACCCGTAGTCCCAGAGTAAGAAAGGCTGAGCCAAGGAGCCCAAGAGTTCAGTAACAGCCTGGGCTGCATAGTGAGGCCTTGTCTCAAAAGGTAAAGCAAACAAAGAAATAATAAAAAGACTGATAACTTCTCTACACTGCTAAATCAGCATTTTTATAGTCGGATAATGTAGGTATAACGAATGAATACAAAACATGAGAAGGATATTCTTGAGTGATGACTGCACTTGGTTTGGAGGTTAGGAAATGATACTGGCTCTGTCAATAACAAGGGTACCTGCTGAGGTCATTCTCACTGGCACTCTGTGGGACAGGTGCTCTCTCCTGTGTGAAGCATGGAAAGAGTCCCTCTGGATGACTTCCATCGCTAGGAGGTGTCTCCATCAACTCAGTAGCTCTCTTTTAATAGGATGCTTCAGCAACAACTTTCCCACAGATGCTGAAAGCTAGGGAACATATGTTATTAAACTTATCATTTCAGTAGGATTTTTTCTTTCATTAACCTGTGATATAAAGACCCCAATCATGTATAAAATGTTTCAAAGACAATATCAAAATTATAACTGCTTAGCACTTGAGAGGCAGAAGCAGGCAGATCTCTGTGAGTTTGAGACAGTTTGGTTTGCCCAACAAGTTCCAAGCCAGCTGGAGCTACATATTGAGACCCTGTCTTTAAAAAAATTATAAATACTACTCTATTCCAGTGACTCAAAACTGTATCAAAATTGCATTGCATAGTAATTTACTAATTTCATGTTTCCATACATATTTTGAAAAGGCTTGCTATTACTATATATTAATTATACATGTTATTATTCTTGTGTAGATATGGGTACAAAAATATTTTTTAAGATTATTTTTAATTATGCATCTGTAAGTAGGCATGTGCAGATAAGTCCTAGGGGTTGGGAACATAGAGATCAGAGTTCCCTAGAGCTAGAGTTACACAGGGGTTGTGAGCGACTTTGCATAGGTTTTGGAACTAAACGTGCATACTCTGTAAGGACAGTAAGCTCCCTTAATCACTGAGCTATCTCTCCAGCACCATGTTTAGATATCTTTATGGATCTATTTCTTGAAGCATTATAGTAATCCTTCAATAATCACTAGAAAACAAGTGTGCAAGCTACGGGTTTTGAACTAGTCCCATCAGGCCGGTGACAGGGAGCTGGTATTCCCACTTAGAACTGTACAAACTCACGCACCTTTAATTTGCTTTGCAACAACAGCTGCAGAGCAGGGAAGACACTATTTTAAAAATAGTCTGTTGTGATACATTCCTCTATGCCCATTCCCACCTCAATCTAGACTATTCCTTGCTTATAATAAGTATTTCTGAACTTTAGCAAGAATCTTTTCATTGAAGAATCTTTTCATTTAGCCCTGAAGATGTCATTTTAAAAAGGTGACCTTATATATGCATGAATCCCTCAAAAATTGCCCCACTTAAGAGATGAATTAACACGTCGGCAACAATGAGGCTAAGGTTTCATAGTTCCAAGTGATCATGTGTCTCTTTTGCTATTGTTGTTCATACAAGATCAAAGGTCACATTTAAGGTTTCTACATCACCTTAAAATATTTATGATTCAGTCTTATTTTTTCATATTAAAATTCATTATACTCAAGAACTTTTCAATAGCTTAGGCATTTGTTGAAATGATAGGTTGAAACTATTCACAATATTTAGCTAGCAATTCAGAAACCTCCCAGAACACCTGCAAAAACTGCATTAAATTTTGCCTGATGTTTCTATATACAATGCAGAGACAAATATTTAGTAGCTATAATTCAAAAGGAATAGCAGCCCAGAGAGCCTGCGCCACTCTCCCTGGGCCCCTGGCCACCGAGCTGTGCAACATCTGTTAGGACAGCATCACACTGCAAAGAGTACCCGGGGTATTTACAATTCAGAAGAAGCACAAACACACGGATCACATGGAATGCTAAAATAGACTATAGAGGAATGTGCTCCTGGAAGTCACAGCAAAGGCATCTGTGGTCTGTTTGGTTTGTAACTGCCACAGCCCTTCAAGGAGGAATTAGCATTTATCTTTTCCTCATTCGTGTGCTTAAATATCTCTCTCAACAGGCTGAAATCTCAAGAAACAATGTCTTATTTACAGCGGAAATGCCTGGAAAGTATGCAAGGGTTACTACTCAATGAAAATAACAGACTACTGATTTTCCCTTAACTGTCCCTTGGCCAACCTTTCTGAGGGATTAAAAGAAAAATGGTTTCTACATTTAGAAGTAAAATTGAAAACCAGCAGTAAAGGATAGGGACCTTCCATTCTTAGGAAATACTTTATAAAATGAGAATCACTTTGGCATCAGTATTTTAAGTTCTCATGTAGCTTTCTGGGCTATTGGTAAGTGAGCACAAGATAAATAATAGAGCAAAAATGCTGTACTTTATTACTTACAATTGTTAACCACATCTTAAATGTAAATAAAAATGTGTGGCTAAAAATGGGGATCTGTGGTGGATAATTTTAATTATCATGCAAACACAATCTGGAATGAGTAGGAAGGCCGTTGCAATGAGAAACAGTCTTGACTGGGCTGGTTAGTGGCCATGCTTGTCTGGGGTTTTCTTAGTTGGGTTGGTGTTGGAAGAATCATCTTGAATGTAGGTGACACTGCACCATGGGTTTGGACCTAGACTGAATAAAACAGAGAGCAAAGAGAAGCATGCATTCAGTTTTCCTCTGTTCCTGGCTGTGGATGGGACTAGTTGCTTCAGTGTCCTGCTGCCTTGACTGCAGTGGTGAGCTGTAATAGGAAAGTGTAAGCCAAATAAACCTTTCTCTAAATTGCTCTGTCAAGAAGCTCTACCCCACAAGAGGAAACGGAAGCAGGCTGGGCTCTAAGAATGACTTCGGCAATACTGTCATTACAGAATTCTCAAAACACAATGCAGCAACTGGGAGCATGCCAGATTTGCCCAAAGAAGTTATGTGAAGCCATATTCACCAAGACCAATATTATCCACATGTTCAAAGACGCTTCACTGCTTTTGTGACAATTCTGCAGTTGGCCATGCCAGCAGAGCCATGAGTTGCAATTGAAGTTCCAGGTATAGCCCACCAGAAGGGAATCCTCTGATGGACCAATCTCGTTTAGGCAAGACCACGGGACTGTAGACCCTGGCACATCTTTACTTCTGCTGTGACTTTACGTGTTTGCTGCAGCTCCCTGTCTCTGGTATCAAGCATGGTGAGAATGGACATGGGCAGATCTCCACTGCCTGTAACATAGTGTGCTTATCTCTTGGAAACATCCTGTTCTACTGGGCAATTAATCCGTGGATTGTCAAGAAGATGACACCCCTGCCAATCAGTGCAGTCTAATTTGATAATAATAATAATAGCTTATACATAGTTTTGATGAATAAAAATAAATACAAGGATATGTTTCACAACCAGGGTCTGTGAGTTTCACCTAAGGAGCTGCATGCATTACAGTTCAAGTTAAGGATTAACAATTGAGTCCCAGTAGCCCAGCTAATTTAGATTCTTTTAACCCTAATGTTGGGAGATGTGTTATTGTACCTCAGAGTGCATCACAACTGAAACAAAGCTTTGAAAACAACAAAGTTAGACTAAGGTGCTTTCATTAAATAGCTCTGAGGTGAAAAACCCAAGAAGACATCTAAAGTTTTAGAAAGTCACATAGTTGAATGTGGAATTCCTTAAGGTCAGAAAACAAGAACAAAGCAGCCCAATTATTACAGGCTGATACACTCTCCTTGCTAAGTTTGGTTGATGACCAAAGGTGATTAATTCCTTAGCCCCATTTCTGCCTTCAATCTCCTGATATATAGATATATAGATAGATAGATAGATAGATAGATAGATAGATAGATAGATAGATAGATTTAAAGTAGAGCTGACTGCTTGTTTCTCATATATAAAAATTTAAGTTTGTGATTTCGTACAAGATTATCTTTCAAGATAAGTAATAAAGTAAGTAATTGGTCATTTCTTTGTAACTACAAAATGCAACCTGACCAGTAAAAGACCTGACAAGAGCACCTTGCTTGCCCACACAGTTAACCCATAACGAGCAAGCTGCTTGGGTATGAATTACGTGGGCTCTTGGGATAACTTGTTTTTCATCTATAATACATAAAATGTTTAATCATGCGAGGAAGATGAAAAACATGTTTGTATCTGTAATCATTTTCTTGAGAAATAGAATGCAACTGTTTCAACTCTTGTACTGGCTGAAAAGTTTCTCTTCGGGTATAAAAGCTGTGAAAAAATGAGGGAGAGAGAGAGAGAGAGAGAGAGAGAGAGAGAGAGAGAGAGGGAGGGAGGGAGGGAGGGAGGGAGGGAGGGAGGGAGGGAGGGAGAGAGAGAGAGACAGACAGAGAGGGAGGGAGGGAGGGAGGGAGGGAGGGAGAGAGAGAGAGAGAGAGAGAGAGAGAGAGAGAGAGAGAGAGAGAGAGAGAGAATAAAGGAAATCATCAAGAGAGTTTGTGAGTATCTTTTTCCCTAATCCCTCTCAGAAAGTCTAACCTTGCCGACTCCATGGATTCCTATCAGAGCCCTGGGTCACTGGAGACTGCCAGCCCCCTAAATAGCAATACAATTCCATAATCAAAATTAGATGAGCAAAATGTAATACTTTTCTTTAATATAAAAATATTTGCCTGCTTAAAAAAGTAACACTTTCCTTTAATATAAAATATAACCTATCTTAATAAAACATACTCTCATTCTAGTTAAACGACGGTATTTTTGTAGAACCCAGGTAGTGACAAGTTTTCAGTTATGTGCAGGGCCACCAACTGACAAACATTGTTAGTGGTGAAACAGAGACCCATCCTATACGAGTTTAAGTAACTCCTTAGAGTCCAGTGTTTTTAAACTTTTTAACCTGCCAAGGGAGTTCATGGAGCTGCTGATGTAGCTATAACCACAGAACTGTGTTCTACTTTGACCAGCAAGCATGTTGAAGGATGGATGCTCGAGACCATGACTTTATAAAAGAAAGCTCATGGCACCTAGACTGCTCAGGAAATGTTTTTTAAAAAACCCAATCTCCCTGGAAAGAAAGCAAAAATTCCACAGGTTCATATTTGTTTTTGCTAAACACAAAGCCCTGAAAAACAAAATTTATTGACTTCAAACAACAGCATCCAGATTCTACTAAAAATAAAATACAATAAAAAATCTTCCATGAAATACTCAGCAAGGAACACAAAGTAGATGTAGGAATGATGACTTTTGTCTCTCAGGATTCTGGAAACCAGCCAAAACTTTTCCAAGGAGCAATTGCATATCACTTTAGACTCCATTATGAACACACACACACACACACACACACACACACACACACACACACATATATATATATATATATATATATATATATATATATGAAACTTAGAAACAGGTAAGTAAAATGACCAAAGTAGGAAAACTGATTTCTAAGTAAAACCTATTAAATAATGGTGGTGGGAGTAAGGGAATGGGGTGACATTTTATGATTCAGAGAAGCTACAGGACACGGACAATGAATTAACCATTAGCCACACTGGGCTTCGTTTTACTCTTCTACAAGAACAGAATAAACTTTACACACCACACTTACAGTAACACGAAGAGAAAAAAGAGTCATTGGACTTTGTCTGCCCTCACCACCTTGCAGACATAGGACCTATTGGGCTCACTCTGCTGGGGCTTTCTCGGCAGTTTTCACATTTTTCCATTTTTTTCTCCTTTTTAAGCAATTATTCCGAATTAACCAACCTATTCCTAACATTACTTACAAGCCTCCTGAGTTGATCAGAACTGATTTTACAGAACCTTTACGAATACGCTCATCGTTTTACCATAAGTACAAAAGTATGAAGAAAAGTTTAAAAGCAGACAGGCTCTCTGCTGATCCTTTAACTGCATCGAACCCTCATCCCCTCAAACACCTGACACACTGTAGGGCATAGGGTGACACAGAAATGTGGCCTTTTGGACCCCCAACAGCACCACAGTTTGGTTGTGGATCCTCGGGTGGCCCCTCCACTCGGTCCCACTTGAGTCTATGAACTTGGGTTTACTGTCGTTTATCCCTACTGTGTTACTCTCCGTCTGCAAGCACGGAATCGGAAGCCAGGAAAGTTAAGGGATGTGTCCCGAGACCCCACGGCTGCTTAGACGGCACGGATGGGACGGAAAAAACGCGGGCGGTTCTACAGGACCGTCAGGAGGTTTGATTCCTGAGGGTGCATGGAACATGACTCAGGGACGTCAGGAACCGGGCTGTCCTGGGGCGCTCAGAACCCCCAAACCCGGACCTCGCTCAGCACAGGGCCCCCCGCTCCCGGAAGTCCGAGACCGCCCCGCTGAAAGCCGCCATGACCCGCCCGCCCTGCTCGGGATGGAAGCGGTGGGCTCGCGCACCAAAGACGCCAGGTCCGGGCAGGGGCGAGCAGCAGACGTCTCACTTCCGGGCGCCCCGGCTCCCCGCGCCCCAACGCGGCCCGCGCCCAGAGCCCGCCCCCCGAACGCGCTCCCACGTCGCCGTGACGTCATCCGCCGCCGCCGCCGCCGCTACCTACGACGGCCGGAGCGTCCGCTGAGATCCTGCCCGGCGCCGGGTCGCCTCGGCAGACAGCGAGCGCAGAGGGAAGCGAGAACGGCCAGGAGGACGGACGGGGCGCGCGAGGCCAGACGCCGATGAGTCGCCGGCCCAGGCAGCGGTGGCCACAGCGTCTCCACCGAAGAACCCAAGCGTCGATAGTAACCGAACCTCGGCTTCTCTGGAAACGGACGCCCCGCCCTCCCCGTCTGCTCCGACGTAGCTAATTGGCCAGGGCTCGAGAGCGCGGGCGCCGTTCCTGCTGTGATTGGCGGGAGCGAGGGGGCGTGGCGGGCGGGGAGCTTTGTCCCTGCTCTGGTTGCTCTTGGAGCCTGTGCTTTAAGAAAAGGCTTAGCTTTTGTGTGTAGTTACCGAAAAATGTCTCAACCGCCGTCATCCTGGCGGGGTGTCACCTGACACTCGATGGAGAACTGCCCTCCCTGCTTGTGCTTTTTTTTTTTGCAGGAAGGATTTGAGAAAAAAAAATAAATCCAAGATAAGGTGACTGAAAAAAACCACATTTCCGAGATGTATGACATTATCCCGGACTGTTCCCCGGGTGTCCCTCTTAAATGACAAGGTCAGCGTGTTCTCCAGAATACCTTCCAAGTCCCCAAAGCAGCTGTGCTTTCCAAGCTGCTGAACCCGCAAATCGAGATCTTAGTGAAGAAAAAGGGAGACCAGATGGAGCATTTTTTAAATGAGATTTAATTTTCTTATCATTGTATTAGTGGTTTGGGAGCAGATCTCGTGTAGTCCGGGCTTACCTTCACACTGTTTCTACAGCCTAGGGTGACTTTGAAACCCTGACCCTTATGCCTCCGATCCAGGGCCTTCGTGCTAAGCAAATGTGCTCTGTTACTACTCAGCTGAAACAGACAGACACAACAAACAGAAAACTAGCTCTTTCAGCCCACCACAAGCCCTCACTTTCCCCCAAACATTACTCAGCACACTTGCCTATATAAGATTAGAATCCAAGGGTTTGTACTCAATGAAACTGCGAGGCTAGCATACTTTTTCGTTCAAGAGCCAATGGTAATATTTTAGATTTTTCCAGATGATGTTGTCCCTGTTACAGCATTTAATTCCACATAACACAAAAGAAGCCAGAGAGAAATGGAAAACACATAAACATATGAGTGCAACTGTGTCTCTATCAGATTTTATTAATAAAAAGTAATTAGGTTGGATTTGACCAACAGGTTATGGTGCGTTAACGGCTGGTAAAACGTAAGCTAAGCAAGTGTCTAGTAAGTGTTGAACTCATTGCCATCCATGTGAATATGGGCAGTAGCGGTTGGCTATTTCCCTCATGACAGATGAAATAAGATACTTGATGAGTGCTCATCATATTTTGGCAAAATGAAAAAGGCACTTTAAAGGACAGCTTGGTGGTGACGTAAGTTATCTCCAAAAATGGTTTTCAAGTAATTCTCTTCATTCCCTAAACACACAAAAATGGTCTGTTACCTTATTTGGAAATTTACCAGAAGAATGTGGCATTAAGAGATCTTGCAGGTTATTTGTTTCTCTTAGAAATCAGCAACTTAAAAAAAATCTAATTACCCTATAGAAAAGCAAAATATGACCAAATTCTCATTGTCTTAGTCACTTTGATAAGGTGCCAGATGTGTGAATCCCAGAGTTTCAAGGCCCTGCCTCGGGTCCACATGAGTGCACAATATATGGTACCCTAGTCAGCAACAGGACGTAAAGGAAAACAAGGTGAAATGACTTTGGTTACCAGGTAATGACACAGAGTATCTGAGACCTCTTAGCCCTGGAAAACTCACCAAGGTAACAGTGCTTTGGGTTTTCATAGAGCTCACACAGAGCAGATCTACATCACAGTTGCTGGATAGAGCAGTGTTAGCAAGTCTTCAGCCAAGTATAACAAAATAGCACAGACTGTTTAAACAACAAGAACTTGTCTTTCACATTTGTGGAACCTTAGAAGTCCAAAGTCAAGAATCAACCAAGTTGGCTGCTAATGAAGTGTCTGTTCCTTTTGTTTTTAGATGGATGGGTGCCTTCTTGCTTTATTCTCACTGGTATCAAGAGAAGTAGCAAAATCCCACCTGTCTTCTATAAGGGGCCTGATCTCATAATGAGGATTATCCTCCTATATTCTAATCAACCCTAAAGGCCCCATCTCTAAGTGCGAGCACATTGAAGGCTAGTAGGGAGGAAGCGACAAAACACCCTTTCCACAGCAGTAGGGTGGTTACTACTGTAATCCTTCACCAAAGGCAATTCTACTAGTGCTGGTCTAAGTGTGGGTAATTCATGATAGTGTCATGTTGACAATTAAAAGTAACCATCACAAAACTGTAGTGCTTAATTATTACATCATTTCACATATATTTACTTAATTTAAGATTATCCTTTTTATCTTTGTTTAATCTTTACACCTTGTATACCATTTTAAAGAATGTGACTTAACAAAGCCCCAGGATTATATATAAAACCATTGTAAAAGCACTAAATGGACTCCTGTAGAAGCTCCTCCATGTCTTGGAATTGTGTACTGTCCTCTTGCTATGTGCTCTCTGTTTAAATACTTAATAAAAACATTCACTAATTTTATTTCACTCTGACTCCTACTACAACACCTTTGTGCTTCATAGCCCTGGCTTTGCTTGGGGGACAGTCAGTTGGTAAGAGAAGGGATTGCTGCTGACAGTGTTGAGCAACACGCTGCTGCCGACACTCCCACCTAGAAGTAACGTCACCTACACAACATTGTTCAACAGAGACGGCAAATGAAATTTCTATAAATATGAAAATCTTAAAAAGACTTCTAAATAAAGGACAAAACACGTGTTCTGGTCTATGTTCACCTCCACTGCCTCAGTTGCATCCCCTGGTGACCCCCAGCTGACCTCTGTGTCCATCCTCACCCATAGGTTTCTCCTGCCCATTTTCTACGCAGCAGCCAGAGTGGTCCTGACCAGGGAGCAGCACAAAGTCAGTGCTAACACAACCCCAGCTGCATTCCCACATCATAAACTTCACTCTGAGCTGCTGGCCTCTCATGAACTGTGCCTACAAGGTTCCTCCTGCCACTGTGTCCCCTAGCCTTGAGACCTCTCTGTTATGTAATATGTTGATCGAATTCTGATGCTCCCAAGACTGACAGTAAAGTTTGCTTTGAATCATAGGGTGGAACTAGCTACTAGCTGACCAAAATTAACCATGGAGGTTTTGGAGGACTGAGGACAAATAGACTCGGGAAGTGATAGGGTGGGGTTTAGAGAGAGGCTCAGCCTTTTTCGCTTCACCACCACTTCTTTGGTCATTCAGGTTCTTACCCCAATATCTGACTCCCAAGTTTTTATTGATAAAGAATAATTAGATAAATGCTTCACCTGTCTCCTAATCTCTCACCATGGTATGCATCTCTGTGCTTACTACACTCAAGTTCCAACTGGATTCAAACCCCCCCCTACAAGACACTTGTCTCAGATAGTTACATGATTCCTTCCCTAGCCTGACAATCAATTCAGGAATGCCTTCATATTCCAACTGATACAAGACTGCATAACCCAACCTTGACCTGCCTCCTCTCCTGAGTCAGCCTCTCAAGCATCCCAAATTAGATACCACATTCTCTATGTTGTTATCTCTTCTAGTCTCCTCTCTAGGATGCAGAGATGAAAGCAAAATCATCGTAGTTGACGGTGGTCACTCATAGCTAACACTGGCTGGGTCAGGTAAGAGCATGCCTTTATTTTTAATAGTTTTAACAATGTCGTCAGCCAAATTTTATTTTTAAATGAATGAATAAGCAAATAAGAAGGATTTATGGGAATCGTCCCCTGCATGAATAAGGCACATCACTAAGAGTTATGGAGTAGAGACTATATATTAAAAATTACTAAAAAATGAAATTGGTTTAAAACACAAATGTGTCCATTAAAATGGAAAATAAATTAACTTTGAAGTATGAATTTAATAATAGGAAAGTACTTTAAATACAGAGTTTTAATGGCCCTTAGAGGAATGGCTAGGCTGTTAAGGCTAGACTCACAACCAAAATGTGAAAAACAGAGTTCTAATATTCTAAAACTTAGTTGGACCTGGTGGTGAACTTTTGTGTGTGTGTGTGTGTGTGTGTGTTAAGGTGGCATTTTGCAATTCTTTTAAGAGTATTTAAATAATAGTACCACCATAAAAATTAATCATTAATGTAATGTCTTCTTCCTGGAGTGCTGAAGAAAACAGCCCTTATTCATATACAACAAAAGTGTGTTTAAAGACGACATAGAAAAGTAATCCCATTTATAATATGTTGTAGAATATTCCTTTCACTGTGTGAAAATGTGTCACTGTGATTGGTTTAATAAAGAACTGACTGGCCATTAGCTAGGCAGGAAGAGGTTAGACAAGACTTCTGGGGACAGAGTTCTGGGAAGAAGAAAGGAGAAGTCTCCAGCCAGACTCAGAGCAAGCAAGACATGTAGGAGGGGAGGTAAAAGCCACGAGTCATGTAATCTACATGGCAACATTTAGGTTAATAAAAATGGGTTAATTTAAGTTATAAGAGCTAATGGGACAAACCTAGCTATATGTCAATTTTTTATAATTAATATTAAGTCTCTGTGTCATTTTTGTGAGCTGGCAGACCAAAGAAAAAGCTGCCTATACAATAGCCTTAAGAAAAATAAACTTCCTCAGAATAATAATAACAACCAATCATGTGACAGACTTTAAAGAAAAACTTTAACACATTGGTGAAGGAAATTGAATGAGACTCTAGACAATGGAAAGACTCCCCTCACTCATGGACTGGAAGACTTAATGATGCAAAATGACTATATTACCAAAATGCTCTATAGTTTCCATGAAACTCCAATGACATGAAATTAAATTCCACCCATACAAATTCCAATGACAATGATGTTGAAAAGTCATAGAGAAGCGCACAATACATCAGATAGCAAAGTAACCCTGAACAAAAAAGAATTCTGGAGGTATCACAGTATCTGATTTCAAGCTATTCAAAAGGACTATAACAAAAATAGCATAGTACTGGCACAAAAACAAACATATAGACTAGTTGGAGTGGAATAAATAGAAGACCCAGAAATAAAACCACACATCTACAGCCTTCTGATTCTCGACAAAAATATCAAAACCATAAGCACACGATGCTGGGAAAACTGCATATCTGCAAGGAGAAAACCCAAATTTCT